TATTAAAAATAATATATAAATATTTGCGAAGTTCAAGCTATATTGTTTTTTTTACAATCTATATTTAATAAGATGCACTTCTTGCATATAGACTTTGAAATTAATACCCGTACAGTTGTTGTTTAGGTAAAAAGAATGTGTATTGTCTATTAATATCCTGCATATTAACATCACTGATATATAAGGCTTATATGATTGATACTTAATTAATAGAAATTAGTTTGTGTACAAAGCGCATTTTAATGAATTCTATAGTTTAAGTGCACCAGTTTTATTAGACCTATTTAATAGTATATATGTTTGGGTCTAACGCAAACTTGACCTAAAAAAACGTCGTGTCGATATGAAACGAGGCATTTTATGAAGAATACATATATTTCTTGTAAATAAAAGATAAATAAATGTTGTTCTTGTTGAATGAATGATTTATATTATTGTTTTTTTTTTAATTATATTAAAAGAATATAAATAAGAATATTTACGAAATTACTTACAAATAAATAAGAACTTAGGTACTTTGACTGCAAATTTCGTGAAGAACATGTGTATCTCATAATACATATACAACATAAGATATATTATATGTACCTCATTTCACATCATCACTTTGAATTAATGTATAGTTACACAACGAAATGTAGTAATTAAAACATTTGTCTACTAATGTCATCTAGCAAAATAGCGTCCTACCAATTATTAATAATTTGCCAACAAACTAGACACAGCAAGTTTGTATGTACAATTTGATAATAATCGTGTAATAAATTTTAATAACTATGTGAATTTCTCTAAAATTGAAACCACTAAATTTACGTCTAAATTTTCTATTTTGCTGTTAATATCAAATTGAAAAATTAATCTGCTAATTCATTATTTGACCTGGTAACATTATAGAAAAAGAAGATGGCTCATAAATTTTCGTGTCAATTGTCTATGATTACAATAAGTTAATAATTTTAATTAAAGTACTAACATTGCATAATTATTGTTTTTTACATAAAATATAACTTACTTAATAATCGAATAATTTTATTTATCCAATAGATACCTATGACAAAAATTACTTGAAACCATTAAAATATTATACGACGATGCAAACACTTATCAACAATAATTTAGAATTTATGTTACAATTAGAATTTATGGGAAGAGGTAGTTTAGAAGAATCTTTCAACACTCACAATTATTATAATTTATTAAAAATCCTTATTAGATATTCATAAGAGATTTCAAAATAGAAGCGTAGTTATGTCATAATTTTATATCATAAGTTACTTCATGACAATATCAACAACGTGAAAAGATTTTTTTCAAAACATGCCTTAAATCTAATTTATACTCTCATATAGAAAAACAAATACTAAGGGAAGACAATATTTAACAAAAAAGAAACGGATCTTAGCCTACATTATGAAAAATTTCCAAATTTTAAATCACTCGCATAGATTTAACGACAGCCTTCGAAGTAGTAGGTATTAATACTTTTAAAAATTGTGCATATAACAAGTCAAACGTGGAAAATCATTAAGATTTCATTATTCTAATACACTTTATTTATAACAGTCATTTTATAAGATAAATTTCAATTTAATAAGGTATAGTTAGACTTGCAAATTCACAAATTTGTTTAATTTTGCAATTTTTTTCAGTAGTGTTCAATAGTGTTTATATTTGCAATATTACTAATATTGCAAAATTAAACACTAAGGTTAACTGTGAAGGTTGAAACCATATCAAGTGGTTTAACTAACGATATTATTATAAGAAAATATTATGCTTGTAGGAATGTAAAATTCTATGTAGCATCTCTATCTAGTTTGTGGTTGCTACACAATAATACTAGGTAGTATTCATAACTTCTTCTAAGACATCAAAGAAATACTGACACATTGTAACACTAACATTAAATGACATAGAAAAGGACGTAGAAAAGACTTACAAACGATATTATATTCTCACTTGACATCACGTTCAGTTACATCAGCCATTTGTGGACCTAGCCCCTCGTCGATAACTCAGGATAAGAAATCTTTAGCTATTATACTTTTCAGTATAACGTGTGGGCATACAGCTCCGGGCGAGCATTAATTTTCGTCCACAATTTAACTATTCAGTCGATTGATAAGTAGGTAAATTAAATTCGTTCATTACTACGCACGGCATACAGCAATGCACTAAATCGATGAAATATTTGATGAAACATCTCATATATAACGTCATATAGTTGCATAAGTAAACGTAACTACGCGGCCATCACTTGAAATATAACGGTTCCTATAACACCTCCTTGTGATACCCACCGATCTAATCTTAATGTACTAACACGTAATAGGGGAAATATAAAGATTTTGTATAAAAGCAGTCGAAATGACATCAACAACCATTAAGTAACAGGTAACAACCACTTTCACACAAACTTGAAATACATTATAATTTATTAAAAATTTAACTTTACAACTGGCGTTACACACTCACGTTTTAGTCATAAGCTCAAAGAATTATTCAACATGTAACATAAATATATTATATAGATATATAATAAATTTATAGAAACTCATACTACTCATGCAATATAAATTTATAACGTTATTATTTTATAATAAAAAAATAAAGTGTACAAATTATTGTTACATTTAAAAACTATTATTGCAATAATATAACTTATTGATATAAAGAAAGTAAGAAGGATAAATAAAGTGAAATTTTCGAAACTTTACAAATTAATCATTTTAATATGATTTTCTTATGGCAACATTGTTATTTTTTGTACTTAAGTGCAACATTTTGCAGTTAATAAATTGACAAAGAAATACACAATATATATTATAATGAATAAATAATATATATTATAGTATATTTATTGTAAAATGAAATACAACATCATACATAGTTTTATTAACTATCAACAGTATAAGACATGTTAAGTAGGCCTACAGTATAGGATTGCTATAAACATACCTACAATCCGAACATGAAAAGGATAGTGATATCGGCCGTAGTGCATGTAGTGATATGTTCCAATGATTAACTTAAGCGTACTAGACATTATTATCTAATTGACAATGAAGATTTATACAAAAATAGAGCTCGACTCGCTTTATCAACAATTTATTATTTACATTTTACATTCTAATTAAAATATTAAATATAACATTTTATATATTTTTTTTATATTTTTAACGTTATTATAAATAATTAAAGGGCATAGTTTTAATATTAATCAAATTTTAGAATTTAATTTGTTTTTTTTTTTAATTTAGGTAGAACCTACAACATCGAGGTAAACTATATAATATATGTTTTAATACTTACTATTATATGTTTATTGACCAACTTGGAATAGAACAGATAGATTGCTTTTTTTTTTAATTTAATAACTATAGTTCGCGGCAGAACATGTATAAAATTATTCAACACTTTTTTAAACATTTTTACGGTTGTTTATAATTGTACATATTATATAAACGGAATATTTACCGTAATAATTATGAATTCCCAACTTTTACACACCGTTACGACGACGGGTCGACTGGACGAGGAGGTGGAATGAAACAATTATTACGAGCAGACAAATCTGTGTACCCGTTCTTTTCTTCTTGGGTCTATTTGTACTTACACCTCTAATTGTAAAATACTTGTTAAGTAATAATGAGCTCATAAACAGTATAATTATCGTAAATTTCTCGTTTATATAATATGTACAGTTATACAAATATTTAATGTTAGCACACGCTTTTGTACATGAAATATTAAGTTCCACATTATTAAAATCTTGTTAGTTACGACTAGGTCTATACCTAGAAGTCATTATTTAATTTATAGTTTTTTTTTTGATGAATTTCAATAACATGGTGCTTTATTTCAGTGGATTATTTTTATTATAAAATACGAATTTACTACTAGGTATCAATACCTAGAAGTCATTATTTGATTTATTGTTGTTTTATGAATTTCGATAACACTGAATGTAAAAAACAATTAGTTTTCATATATTTTTGAGTGTATGTAAATATATTATTTAATTATTTAATATTTTGTAACATTTAAATATTACACATACTGAATTAAAATAATTTACTATCATTGGCTTATCAAGGCGTGGAACGTATGATGCAATAACATAGAAAGTAGTTAATAGTAGCCAATATAGTTTAGGTCAATGCCTTGTTAGCATTAGCAGTTATTTAATTTAAAGTGGATTTTAAATATATTTTATATATTGAGAAAAATTCGAAAAACCTTGCAACAGTTGCGTATATTTAATTGAGTTCCTTACAGACATATTACTTACTGGATTATATTATGATATACTTTGCTTTCTGTTTGTACTGAAGGTGGAAAAATATTTTTATTTCTAGCAATATTTTAAAAATATATCTCTATTAATGGCATGGCATATAAGGAACTCTGTGGAACTAAATGATTACTTATTCAAATATCGAATTTAGAATTTGAGTTTTAATTGTATAACATGTAACCTATATATTTATGGTTGATTATTTAGTATAGCAGCTATCCAGCGCAACTTCATCTGCGTTACATTTTCCCCGTTTTTACACAATTTTCCTTTATAGCTTCATTCTTATTGGTCATGATGTTATAATAGCCCATAGTCTTCGTCGCTAATCGGGCTATCCATCACTAAAAGAAGAGAGAGCATTTTCAAAATCACTAGTACCGGAGAAGACCCCGAAATTTTGGATCACCTAGTACTAGGAATTTTGAAAATTTTCTTCTATAACTCACAAATGCTTCTTTGTAACATTAGTATTTACTGTACCGACCGGGCGGTGACATCCAAACGTAGAATCTAAAACTAGTAACCGTAAACTTAACAGGATCTTCCGATTAGTACGTTCACTGGAAATTTCATAAGACAACCGTCGACGTAGACAGAGAGGAAGCGAAAGTTCTCGAAAGATGTATACGCGCCCCGCAGGCCCCTAGTGCCGCTCCTGTCGGAGCGGCGCGAGGGAGGCCAGGGAGGCGCGTCGCCGCCGCTAGGAGGCTGCTGGAGAGCTCGCCCCGCCCGCCACGCTCCCCACACCCGCCACGCTCCCCACGCTCGCCACACTAGCCGCGCCCTCCCCGCCCCCGTCGCCCTGAAGCCCGCCTGCCACCTCCGCAACCGTAGACCCACCGGGCCCCGCGATAGACCCGCGGGGACATCGCGGTTCGATTCGCAGCGATAACTCGTACTGTTGCTCCTCGTCGAGTACTATCGACCGGTCTAGCACGAAGTCTGCTATCTGTAGGACGCATTTATGTATAACTTCGATATTTCAATGAGGATATACAGAAAACTGGCCTGCTGATGAATGTATACATACATATAACTCAAATATCGACGTATCCAATTCTGACCTCTGGGTCAATCCATGAAGCAAAAATTACAAGTTTTTATACACAATTCATAACTGACGTATAGAAATAATAGTCAGGTATTTAAAAAAAAAAAGAGATTTCTAGAGAGAGACGAGAGAAGTCTGTACATCAACTAAGAGATCACCACTTAGTTGATGTACATACCACAAAATTCTTAGACTCTTTAGTTACACCAAATTAATGAATTTTATATAATCTATAAGATTTTCTAGAAACATTCAATACAATGTAAAATATATGTCACTTTACGTTGTACTGTAAATGTTGAGAAAATCTTGTTCTAAAAAGAAAAACTATTTAAAACATAATAAAAGAAAATACTCACATATCTTTTGAAGTTTATCCTATATGAAGTTTGCTGGTAATTTCTAATTTCACGGATCACGTGTGCAATCTGTGAAAAAAACACTTAAATAAAAACTTGACAAAAATTCAAACACCAATCCTAAATCCAACAGTTCTACTTATCCGATTTCGAAAATTCTTTAATGATACTCTAATTATAGAGGAAGCTAGTTTCGCAACACCAATAAGAGCGGAGCTGCATTAAATAATATTGCATAAACATGGAAAAATTTGATAAAGACTAAGTTGTAAAATAGTGAATTTGGTATTTAGGAGCACCATGGTACTCCTGCTTGCACTACCGATTTACGTTGGCGGGGCCAGTGAGGCCAGCCAGTGTTGGCTGACAAGATGAGCATGAGGTAAGTTCAGTCAGCCCATCGTGACAAATTCACTACGATTTATCATGACGGTTCCAAGGAGAAGCACACGGAGATCCACCTGACATGATACATATCTAGCAATGGGTTCATCAGTCCACATTACTAACAATCGCCTGACTTTGGTATTCGTTTTCCTGCACTATCGGTATACGCTGGCAGGATTAAGGTTTCTAGAGGTATCGAATTCAATCTGACATAATTATCCTAATGATTATCCCCGTAACTAACCATCCCCCCTCCCTGTATACAGGCACGCAATGTAGTAATGTATACAAAATATAATTTTAATATTATAGAATACCATTCTCATCTTGGAGAAGTTGAGAAGTCCGTCGGTTGTATAGTTGGGGGTGCCTTCCTCGATGAACGAAAGATCCGAGAGATACATGCCCAAGTACGGCATACAAGGTGGGTCCGATCTGCAAACATCAACATTACAACAGTTCTAAACTTTGTTCGTGATTGTTCACATTATATAAACGGGAATTTATTCATTTATTAAAATACTATTGAATTAATATATAAAATAGGCGGGCTTAGTGTTTATAGCATTTGTTGGTAACACTATATTTATTTTATTTGTAGCAACATTAAATTTATTAGCTGGCAACACTCTCTCTCTCTCTCCGTCCGTCCATCAACGTGCATACAGCTCGGTATATAAATATTATAAATTTAAACACTATTCAATTGTAAACTTCAATAAATAAGAAAAACATCGACCAGGAGGCGTATTATTGAGCCACCATCAACCATCACCCACGCAGGGAAATACATCTCCTCAAACAAACGAACACCAAATACAAAACAGCACAGCATTCTCTACCAGCCAACGTTAGGGACTGCATAGATACTCGAAGGCGGTAAGAACCGCCTTCGAGTATCTCTGCGATTTACCGAGTTTTATTTTATTTTAATATCGGGAGTTAATAAATAATATTACCGTAGTAAATATTCCGTTTATATAATGTTTACAATAAATATCAACATACAGTAAATCCACAATACATTATTTTCTATGCTGGTATATATTGTAAAGCAAAAAAAATAGTGTATGTTAAGTTTTCCGAAACCTAAGAATTGGAGTGCAATCTGCACTCGCCCCTTGTCGTTCGGTATATTCGTAGCTGTAAAGGCCAGCTGGGGCTAGGGTTCATTCCCGGGAATTCTCGGGTCGAGAATTCCCGGGAAATCGTTGAGTTTTGTTCCCGGGAAATCAAGCTCGAGAAAAGTCGAGAACTCGAGAAATCAAGTACCTATATAGAAATTAAATTGCCGTTTGTTTTGTTGCGTGGCGGCGTAATAATTCAAGATATTAAGGTTTTCTTTCATGTAATTCTTTTTTGTTTTACAGAAACTATTTTTGTTTACAAGTTTAAGGTAGATTTTTTCTAAATAACCAGCCAAAAATGGTGCTGTCATTATAAATATAAGTCTGAATAATATTAGGTCCTAACATATGAAAGTGGTGTTTTGTAAGGGAGTAACCTGAAGTATTTGTTTTCAAAATATAACATGTTTATTTAATCAAACTTTATACTATTGCTATTTATGCACTTTTGCCATCTCAAAGGTACTTCATTGATCCCTTTACTGAAAAAAAACATTTGAACGAGAACATTTGGACATATCAATAAAATCTTTGAAGGCACTTTGGTCTGCCCCATCGGATTTGAATTTTTTCCCAATCAGTTATCCAAATTTCGAAAAAAATGGTAATCTGTTGGAGCAAGGTCCGGGGAGTACGGTGGTTGTCTTAGACATTATAATTGAATCTCTTCTAATTTGGTAAATGTCAGTTGTGCAATGTGTAGTCTAGCGTTGTCCTGAAGCAGCAGTGGCCTATGGCGATTTACCAGCCTCGGTTGTTTAGCAGCTAGCTTTTCCATTATGGTTTCTCAATTGCTGATTCAGCCATTGCGATGAGCGTTTCCAATTATCATACAAGATCCACATCATCACAGGTAATGATTCGATTTAAAATCCCTTTATGATTATGCCGGTTGACTAATGTAACGCAGCAGTCTACGCGCGTTTGTCGATCGAAACGCGAATTGTCCACTCAATTCATGAGGGACCCACCTTTCAAGCATTTTCACCCTCCCAATTTGCTACAAGTGGATTAATACAGTTTTGTCACTAACACCGCAACCTGCAACTACCTGCAACTCGGACGTGGTTCGCGATGGATCTGTTATCACAATAGTCTTCAATTCTGCATTACCAACCTTGGACTCCGGCCGCCCACGGGGTTTGTTTTGCAGGTCGATTTCCAGAACGAAAACGTTGGAACCAAAAGTGTATTGTGTTTTCTTTTGCGACACCACCAAGGCGGTGGTGTCGCAAAAGAAAACACAATCACATCATTAATCCTTCGAGCTGGCAATTCGATAGCCATGGCACTAGTACTGCATAAGCAGCACAAGTGCCATGGCGGAACTCGTACTCGTACTTGTAAATGACGCGATATTTTAAGTTTTCCATTTTGTAAGCTGAGTGACCCAAAGAAAAAACCAAGCATATGTATTACGGTTTTCGAAAAACAAATAGGTACATGAGTGAATAGCCATATAAATTTGAAATTGGAAATTTCTAACCAAAGAGGAGATATTTAAGATCAATGTGGCCAGTGCGACAAAACGCTAATTTCATATTTAAGAACCTAATATATTTCAGTATTCAAACAAAATTTTACTTATTCATAATATGTATAATGTTTTTAAATATACTCAATAAAAGTTTTATAATTAATTTTATATTTAATATTTAACAAATAATGCAGTGGTTTTCCTCTCAAATGAAACCACTGAGTTTTTTGACGTTATTAGAACCAAATAATGTGAGAAAACGTACGTAAATGTAAATTTCTCGACAACCCGAGAAGACCCGAGAAATTAACCTCGAGAATTCTCGAGACCCGAGAAATTGAAAATCTCGAGAAATCATGAACCCTAGCTGGGGCCAACAGCATTAGAGTAGTCCGGAAAGAACAACGAAAATTACGCGGACGTATGAGTATATAACTTCGTACACTTATAGTTTATATAGAAGGAACGCGGAATGCTAATATTTTTTACATTAAATTAATAACAAAATATTAGTGACTCTACCATATGTTTGACACACACAAGCATAGACGTATATAAAACTTTACTAATATTCAAATTTATAATTTAAACTAATGAGTAATTATGGTCGAATTTCTACCATAGAGCGATCACTAGTTCATATTATTATTTGATTGACCAATTTGCATACAAAACATAAACCCCATAACAGAAACGCCACAAGAATAAAAAAAAATACAATTTGAAAATGTAGACACATCTAAATATTTAGGTAGTTTGATTACCAGTGACTCCAGATGTACTAAGGATATTAATATTAGAATAACTATTACAAAAAAAGCGTTTAATAATAACAAAATATCTTTTGAGAGCTAATATATCAAGGTCCCTTCGGAAACAACTTATCAAGACCTACACCTTGTATGCCTGTGAGACGTGGACATTGACACAAAAGGAAAGAGACAAACTGGAAGCCTATGAAATGTAGTGTTGGAGAAGGATGGAAAGAATTAGCTGGAAAGATAAAATAAGAAATGAAGAAGTGCTTGAAAGGGACAAAGAAAAGATACAGATCATATACATTATTGAGAATAGATGGGGAAAATGTTGGGGCACTTGATACGACATGACGAACTAATTAATAACATTATTGAAGGAAAAATAGATGGAAAGAGAGGAAGGGGTAGCAAGCAAGCAAGTTAAAGAAAAAGTTGGAGTCGTGTCGTATCAACAGCTAAAAAGACTGATAGAAGATCGTGGAACGTGGCAGGAGCTCCACCGACAAGAGCACAGTTCTTAAATTATGAATGAATGAATGACCAATTTGCACACCTGTGTAATTCATCTCTCATCACCCTGAAGCGTCCCTCTGAGGTGGCAACCGCTTGTAACTTCTCCACCACTGATTTCGACTGGAATGGAAAACGATCGTAAGTACATACTTGGCGACCTCGATCTCGATCGTGTGTGTGTAGCGACAAAGTCGCTACGCCATTTTTCATTTACTCCCAAACATTATATTCGTGAATATTGTTTGTATTTGTCTGGGTATAAACAATATATATACTATAAACAATCAACGATGCGATATAAACAATCATACTCATGAATACAAATGTTTGCACCGTGCGAGGAATCGAACCCGCGACCATCGGAGGTATAGCGGTGTGCTAGACCGGTAGACTACCAAGGCCGTCAATTTACAATAATATAGCTACATACATACATCACAATAACAGATAAGCTATAAATTTCACGCGAGTAAAACCGCGAGCACAGCGTAAATAAGATAAAATTGGAAATATACTTACATGTGAGGATACCTTCTCCCACGTCTTCTTAAGCCTGTATATGGAGGTGTTGGAGAGTGCTGCATATATCTGCAGTACACCGTTATAGTTGTGCATGCATCGGATTATGTCCCCTGCAGCCGCCCATTTCTCTATTGCGTCCACTCGATCTACAATATTATTAGAATAGAATAGAATTTATTAGTGAGATCGTCTTTAAAAGATTAACAGCGGTATGTTTCTAAGTAGATCATGCTGTATCACCACACGTGGTTGTCAAATATTAATGTGTCTTCTCGAACCGGGAATACCACATCTCTTATGAATCGTGCTTTGAATGCTCTGTCCAAATTCCTGATGCCCATCCTCTTATGGTCTATTTTTCCTAATACCTTAGCATGCCCAGCGCTTTTTAAAATGCCAGCAACTCACTTGCAACTCCCCTCCCCTGCGTTCGATCTCCCGTCCAACTCAAACTGGAATTCTAAATACGACAGAACGAAATGTGATGGGGATTCGGTGCCGTCAGACTAAAATTGTATCCATCAAGCAGAGTTGCCCTTGAGCCGCTCAAGAAGAACCAAATCCGGGGAAGGACTTAAGCTTCCCCATATTTGGAGTTCTATCTGCATTCACCCCCTATCGTTCGTTCAGGCTGTATAGACCAGCTGCGGTAAACAGCAATAGAATAGTTCGAAAAATAATTGCTTCTCCCCTAATACTGCGGGTACTAATGGGCTGTGTTAATCACTTACCATCAGTAGTGGCGCAAGCTCGTTTACTCCCTATGTTATAAAAAATACCTTCTGGTGTTTCCTTTTGCAGTATCTCCGATATGATGAAATTGCATATATAGTTGAAGTGTGAAGTCATGAGTAGAATGTGAGGCGCGCGCTCTGCCTTGTCTGGTTTCATCCACGCCTGGCCCAGCAACTCTCTAACAATGGATTTTACTAAATTAGGTGTTATTTTGCGGAAGTTAATTTTACTACTTAATGAATTTATATTATTTTGTTTAATTTCGCTACTATTACTATGTATGATTCTACAAATATTCAGTGCAGAAACCTAAATACCACTACTGGAAGTTCGGCGACCATGCTACGAGTTGGAGTCTGGTCGCCGAACAGTCAACATTAGACTTCCAAATTATATTTAACCTCCATTCCTTACCTTATGATTCCTGGTTTAGAGGCGAATCACGTTAACGGTCGGAGTTTATTACTAATGGAAGGTAAGGTACTAACCTTAGTAGGTAAGGTCAGATTTCCACACTGAATGTTTATGGGCTCACAAATGTTAATAAAAACGGATTTATACAAAATAATACAAATCCTTTAAGTAACATTAATAATACCTCTAATGCAAACTGTTCAAAGGATATAAATATATACATACAAATAAAAATAGATACAATTATCACTAGGAATAATAAGTATTTTGATAAATGGTTTCATAAAAGCCATCGTCTCCAATTGAGACAAATTAGGCAGTCAATAAGAAAACTTAATGATAGTTTGTAAACGAACTCATCAAAGATAATTGGAGAAGATAACGTAGAACTGCAGAACAATCTAAAATCTAAGTCAGAATAAAATATCTTTGTACAACTCACTCGCTGTTTATGTTCCTAAATATCTGGAAGTCCAAATGCGTTAGAGTCTCAGCCAAATCAAGTGCACGAAACATTGAGGAATTGAGAGTGGACGGCTCCTGAAATTAATTCGTGCGAGTTTAAATATTGTATAATAAGATTTAAATTATACAAACCATTGAAACAGACTACCAGTAATTACTATTAGTCACATTGGTGGAAATAAAAAATATAATCCATCACATTTAAAATTAGTACTGTACCACTGTAATGTAATGTTTAAACTATTAAAGAATAAATTCTATTTACTTCTAGATAAAAATTCCCATTAATATCAATGAAAGGTTTTATGTGAAAGGATTGATAGACAAGCAAAACCCGTTCCATCTAATCGAAATTAGTAAATATTTAGTAATAAATTTCATTGAATCAGAAGATGAGTTAAATACTTATCTTTCAATTGCCTAAAAGTTTATGTCAATAAAAAATAATCTAACAGATAATGCAATAGCATTTATAATAGCCAAAAATAAACTTACAGAAGGCGGTGCGAGTAGTTCTTGCAGATCGACTTTAGTTTCTGGGACTCCTTCCAAATGACGTAGCAGTTGCGTTGCGGTCTTGTGCTCCGCCGGCATTAACGCTGGACTATTCTGTATCTCCCTTATGAATTCCATCGTCATCATGCGCAGATCCTCGTCGACCCAGAAGTCGTGCGAGTGTTTTAAGATCCAGTGCCTTAGAAGAAAAAATTCGTAATGTTACGTCTGTGTACTTCAACTTTCTATTGTTGTTTCCAATTAAAATAATTAAAATTTGAATAATTAGATGTATTCAGAGTTTATTTATTAACCCCCGCACTATTACTATTACTTTTAGATTTGTATTCTTAATTGTAAAGAAGATAGCTAATAGATGTTATTATGATATTAAAACTTTGTTCTCCTATATTTACAAAGTTCTGATTGCAGGTTCGTATACGTGATCACTGTTGACCGGGAACAATATAAATTATTATACATTAAACAACAAATTATTAACATTATGCAACAAACGATCTAACATTTATTTCATCGTATGCTTTAGAATCTAAAATTGATATCCAAATCAAATGTCATACTTGTATAAAAATCCCTAAATAAACTCCCTCTACAATTTCACTAGTTAGTAATATGTATAATGAATATGCAAATTTACAATATCTAGAAATTTTAATATGTCAGTTGTATTATTTCATTAAAAAAAAGTAAGTCCTTTGCACTGTACCTTAAGACGTTAAGGACCCTCATAGTAGCAGCTGTGGATATGACAGAATCACGACGAGGGGGAGGCGGAGATGTTGGCGGTGTCTTTGGATTCGATGCTCCTGAGGTAGCCACAGCAAAGGCTATGGCGGCTGTCGATGTACTGCTCCTATATATTACTAATTATTGTATTTTTTATCACACCTAGACTTCTAGATTTGAAGTAAGTAAGATTGCAAGTAGCAATTACTACCTATAATAGTCATAAATAGATAACGCTAATGCTGGTCCAGAATAACCAGGAGGCCTACTTGAAGTTACGAATTCCAATATTTAAATCCGAATGATGCAAGACCAGGATTTGGGTGACAAGTTCTAATTATGACGTGCGCAAGAGGCCGTAAGGTCCTATGTTAGTAAATGGTTTTGAAGAAAAAATTGAGTTTGAATTGATAAAAAACTCAAATTTAATCCACCAAAATTTTTAGAAGTGCTTTAAGTATAGTTTTTTTGAACGAAACAACAGCAGATACACTGCTGAATATAATATAGATTTTGATCTAATTTATGTCGTACCATTTACCACGTATAATAACAAAGTACCACGCCTTAGGGAACTAACAATGTAACAATTAACCGATCTGACTTGATGAGAAATGTTAATCAAAAAGTCCGTTTAAACAGAATCAAATGAAGTACGTAGTAGAATTTTAAATGAATTTTCCACGAACTTTATTCAATTTAATTCCGATTGTCGTTTCATTCGGTGAAAACTTTCAAGACCTCGTAACTTCAAATTTGTGTTTTTGTTGTAGTAGTAGTAACTTCTATGTCCTTCTTTATTATAATAAGGGAAGCATACGTATCAATAGTAGTCAAGCTAGCTAGGGTCTCATTTGTGTAATTAATATGTAAGTCAACTACAGCAACGTTGATAGAAATATTAGCTTAATTTTTAAGTTTTATAAAGTCCATTTTATTTCATTATATTTGAATTGGTATTATGTTTGAATTGTTATTAGGTTTAATTTAAATAACTGATGATTAAAATATATTATTTTAATATAAATGTGAAAGTGAAGCATGCAATTAAGAAAGTGAAGAGAGTAAAAATGTGGAAAAAGTACAATAAGAATTACAAATATAATATAATAATATGTTATTACAAAAGCAATAATTCAATTTTGTCTTCTGCTTGTGAATGTCAAATTGTTAAAAAAACATGCATTCACAATAACGGTTAACATTAATATTCTTTCACTGGATTTATTTAAAAAAATAGGTTGTAATATCGAAAATAGTTAGGTACGGTCAAGAAAAGATTTTTAAAGTTATTGTTCTTAAATTCTATATAACTTGATCCTAGATTTACTTAAACACGAGAAAATATGAAAAATCAAGAATAATTATTGTGGAAGGTGATATGAATAATTGTATAAATGATACCCATGGATCGAAACTGAGCTAACATATATTGAGAATGGAAAATGATGTACAATAAGATATAGGCAATATGTACGAAAATATTTTTCTTGACCGAACAAATTTAATTAATAACAATCAATACACAAATAACAAAAAAAATTGTAAAATCGATGCTTCAGTGTTTATAGTGTAAAATAATTTCAGAAATTTGTATTTTTGGTCAAAACAAGAACAAAATCAATCGCAGAAGCAGTTAAGATTTGACTAATAGAGTGCTAGATGATGTCTGTTTACAGTACTTAGCTAGATAATTATTTTTCATGTGTTCTTGCCTTGTTGTGGTGTTGTATGTGATCGGGTATAAATTATTGAGTTCAATCGTAGGATTGTATAAAAATATCAAAGATAAAAAATATAAAACAGCAGATTTCAAACTAATATTCGACAAAATATTGCTCTACTGCATTGCTACAGAATCTGAAATCTACAAATTTTACCTCCACCAATCACTCACCACACATCGTCATTTCCAAAGCTGTTAAATGAATATTAATTATTATATTATCGACATTCAAACCTAGAGATCTAAGCTAGGACTAGGCCATAACTATGGGAAATAAATACTGTTAGTTATAGAACCACGTGCAAAAGAATTGCTAGCTCGAACTCTGACTTAAGGAAGACATGCCACGACAATGCGAGCTCCCTTTAGTGCCATTAAAGTCCTTTATCTATGGTTGACTTCACTTTCATGCTGTGTTCTAGCAAATCTAGTTCAATTTTGAATAATTCTATAGTCAAAGCAATATCATAGATAAAAACTTTAAACAGTTGAAATGTAGGGTCTTTTTTATGAATTTCAATAACTAAAACATCAATAGTAGTTACCTTCTGTGAGACTGCCGGAAGGATGTGATGACCACTCCCACCTTTGGTTGAGTGAAATCCCGTCGAAAATTCTTTAACAATAATTTTATTATCAAATAACTTTGACGATATATTTCAAATTTGTCTTTAAAGATAAAATTCTTTTAAAGGAAAATCTATTATAATTATAAATTATAAAGATATTAAATATGAGTTACATACCGGGCCTTGAGAAATTTGTGATGCCACTGAGGAGCGTGGCTCGGAACCGCCCCAAAAACGACGACGGTCACTGGTGATGGACGAACTGGTATAACGCCTTTCACTGTTAATACAAACATGAGAATTAATGAAAGTTAGTGAAATTGCTTTGAATAAAGGAATGTCAGTCCAAAGTACTAAAATATGATGCCTCTGATCCTGTAATTTCAATTGCCTAATCTGCATTCTACAACTGAAAAACTGTTTACAAAGCAAGTCGCTTAGCGCCTGAAGTAGCGGAAACTGGGGGGTACCTCAATCTCAGATGACTCTTTACAGTTTATCTTTGGTAATGGAGAAGAAATATAGATGACGACGTAAGTATGCATGTTCCTGCGCCGTGCAGGTAGGAGATCTGATGAATCTGCGGGGCCCGTAGTGGTAGGCGGTGTCGGTGACGACGCGCGTCGTTTGCGAGGTTTGTAGCCGTAGGCGATGACGAAGGCGTGGCGCGCGTCTTCTGTGGACCCACAGGGCGGAGAGAGAGACCTGACGGATCTGCGGGGCCCGTAGCGATAGGCGGTATCGGAGGCGCGGCGCGCGTCGTCGGCTGGCCCAGCCGCGCCGCGCACGCTCTCAGACCGCCGCCGCGCTTCCGCTGCAGCCAGCGAGCTGCCAACGCCCCCCGCACCCAGCGCACGCGCCGACAGCTGGCCACGCCGCGGGCTCTCTGACAGGGTACGAGCACGTTGCTCGCACTGTGTCGAGTACTGCATCCACATTACATACATTATTAGGTGGTCTACAAATCCCTTCGCTTAATTAAGATAACAATCCAACTAACTAATCATCTATGCCAGATTAATCATTCTATATATTGGACAAAATCTTAAAATAAATGTTCTATTTGTCTACAAAGGCTTTTCAAAATATTGTCTAGAGATAAAAAATCTAAACTTTACTCGTAAGCTCTTTCAGACCCGAATAGGCAATCATGCGGGTAAACGCGGTCAAAGTTAAATAAGGACAATGAGAAAACAGCGCGAAAAGTAACGTGTCATATGAAGGTACCTTGACTGTTATGGTTATATAAATTATTCAATAGTCAAAAAACTCTTAAAACTCACCTCTGAAAACTTTTGTGAAATTTTGAACTTGCCAGTTTGCTCGTCCAGTTTAAATTTGCTCTTCTCAGAAGGTTCCTCTTTAAATCTCATATTATTATTATTCTCCGCTGTCTGATCCACCATTTCAATACTTTCTTCCTTCACAAAAATTTTACTGCCATTACTGGTTTTAACCGCAGGCTTGTCGTCTACTTTACTTGTACTGCTCTCTGGTTCTTTTTTCTCTTTTTCAACTTTATTATCATCTTTAGATCCAACCAGAGTTACAGAACTAACAGCACCGGGTGATGAGGGCGCCTCACCTTGGTAAAAAAAATCTACGTCAAAATTGTTCAATGCTTTATCAAAATTACTAATTGTTGTCTTTCTTACTTCTTTCCCGATAGACTAGATTACGAAAATAGCTGCTCTTTGTTTTCTTCGCTTGAAGTTTTCAGGGTGTTGATCAACATAGAAACGAATTGCGAACAGTTTGCAATTATTTAGCAAAATTTAATCATAAAAATATATGTAAACATCTTTGACAAAATTTCCAAAGATTACCTTTCAACGTGTCGTTGCTGGATGACGTGGCCATTATTTTTGGTATAGTTAAGTGATTAGTATCCTCGTCAGCCTTAAGAAAGCGTGTGAGAAGAACATATTAGAAATTAAAATTTAATGTATCAGCCAAAATTGTTATTACACATCTACTATATTTCTACAAACTATCAACTAATAATATTACCTAGAACTTTTAAATAACTTATTGTAATGATATTTGAAAATAAGTTAGCATTTATAATGTGAAAATTGAAGGGGCGGCAGTATGCCGAAGCCACTTGATAATTTTGATCAGACACTTTTATCTAAATTCCGATATTATGCTGATGTGTCCATAAAGCATATATACTGATTTACGTATATTATGATCTATGCAAAATGATAAAAAAAGAAATAGTAGTCCAAATAATAAACATGCATGACAACAAATGTGCGATTACTTGATATTGATATTTTGAAAGCGAGTGTTTAAGAAAGCAATGTGTCATTCTACAGATTGCTCGCCGAATACCTTCTTTACACTGTCTTGATCTTTCTTACCTTAGGTCCGTTATTTGTTAGCTTTAAAACCGCACACGCGGTTTCGAGGTTTTTGGCCAGGTCGAGCGCTATTTTCTAAAATGAGAACTACGTCTTAGAAATGGGTTACGATGACAGATGGTACGTACACAAGATGTATAGCTACAAAATATTCGACACATGACATGCACAAACATGAATGATGATCCTGTGTAGTAGCCGTTCCCTAAAATGATTGCAGATTCGTTATTTGTTATTACAAAGTAAAGAAAAAGGACATTGTACACCTAGAAAGTACTCTATTTAATATTGTTACTTAAATAACAATAGAATAGGTCAATTTAAGTTATTAAAAATAGATAAAGCAAATTCAAAGACAGACGTCTGTTTGGAATATTCAATTTGAAATATTTCTTATATGTTTATGATACCATTTTTTTGTGTATTAAATTGAAGAAAACATGCTAGTTCTATAAATTAAGTCACTAAGTTATTTATATTAATATAAAAAAAAAACTTTCATGGGCCATCAATTTAAAATAATTATTTAATACTTAATTACCAAATTGCATTACATAGATGACGTCAATTCAACGGTATTTGAATTTGGTTTGGTTTTGTATATATTAGAGATATATAGATCATGGCATTCCTTTTATTTAGTAATGGTCAATTTGCATTCCTGTATTTGTCATAGATAATTCGAATAAATATCTGATATTGTAAATAAAAGAAGAAATGTCATAAAAGGTACTTGATAATAATCTTTGTTTCGATCTTAATTGATTTCCGTCAAAATTATTCTTTGCATTTCGTATGTTAAATGATTAGTAGTAATTTTTTATTTCATATAAGGGTTTGCTTACAGCCGCCCCTTACACCAGTAGATAATCATTTTATAATAATACTTCTTACCTTGCCCAGAGAAATAGCAGACGGTCTCCGAGATGGTGCAATGTTTGGAGTTAGTTTGTCTTCTTCTTCTTCTGAAATTGTAAACATATGACAATTGATGAATGATCATTGGACCAATGAATATCATATGTACTTATATATATTTATTAGTTACTTGAATTCTTACTCTTGAATTAATTTCTCGATTTCATTAATCACAGAACTATTTTCTTTTACGTCTAAGACCAAAGTTTACGCTTTACCTCTCCAGAGGACATGCTTTACCACTACAGTAGCATGCTTTAAATCAATACATCCAAACCTAGAGTTTATTTTTTTAACTTATTATATTTAATAACATAAATAAATTAAAATTTACTCGATATCCGATAATAAAGATTGATTTTTGATGATTGTAACTGAACGACAGTGTAAGTGCCCAAAGGTTAGTGATTCTGTCATTTATAATGAAGTCTAAATAAATAAATGAAAGTCTTACGTTTTTTCACGGGCTTCCAAAATCGCGTCTGCCAATCTCGATCGCTGTATTCAGATCCATAACCTAGGCCAATAACAAATAATGATAATATTCGCATTAAATATCCTAATTTGAGAGCGCCCAGGCCTAATAGTTTACAGCGAAATACATCCAAACAATCTGAGTTCATATCTCTAAGTTATGTATAGAGGACGAATGAAATTATTCGAATAAAACATAAAAGTTGCTACAATACCGATGGATCGCAGTGGAACGGTTAAATATTATTTTACACTAGCTGCTTCGCCCGCGTGGCATTTAACTTTATATTTCTAAAATAAAAGTAGCCTAAATTACTCCTTATTACATCAAAATCGGTCCAGCCATTTCAGAAATTAGCCGGAACCAACAGACAGGTATGTACCATATTTATATTCATATGCTCGTTGTAAAAAACGGTAATTTCAATATTACAAACAGACACTCTAATTTTATTTATGTGTATAGATTACCTACGTGTAATGTAGCCACTTATTTATTCTTTCTCATGGAAACATTTAAATAGGTAGATAATATTATAATCTATTGTAATATAAAGTTTACAAAAACCATTAAAACGTTTTATGATTTTCAACAACTTACCAGATACAGAACTAGCGGCGCTGGTCTTCCTGTTGGAGTCCACTGGCGGTGGCGGGTCCACCTCCAGGACTGACTGCTCGTAAAACACTTGTTTGAGAGCTTCCAATACTGTGACTCCGTCGGTGAACACCCGATACGTCAGTAAGAACGTATTCAGAAAGTCCACTGATAGGAATCGAAGATCTGAAAAAGAGAAAAGTCTTATTCCATTATTGCCATTAAGATAATCATATATACCACTACCTAGGTGATTAACCAAGAACACCTGTGTCGTAACTAAAAAAAAGAAATGTGTATTAAAAAAAAAGAACACAACAATTTAGACAGCATAATTACAAAATCAGAGACATGACATCTTAATCCTACTGACCGGCTATCATGAGCGTCACATGACAATGTAATGACGTGTGCTTTTCATGTAGACGCTTACCATCAGGTAAATCGTCAAATTATTTGCTCTTCCAATTCATAAAAAATGAAGAATTTTCGGGTTTTGGAAGTATCATCAAAATGAAAGTTGAAGTTCAATTATCTTAAATATCTCTTACTAGCCTACTAGCCTCTCCGCGGTTTCAAATTGATAGCCTATATTTTTTTCTGATGTTAAAGCTATATTACACTAAAGTTTCGTCAATGCGTGAGAGAGTAACATACATCCATCCACACTCACAATCATTCGCGTTTATAACATTAATAAGATTAACATACCAGTAAGTCTCTGTAACAGCCTCTGTGGCGTAGCGGATCTTATCTGTGGAACCTTGCACGAATTGAGAGTTCTGCTAAATCTGATGTCCACGTCATCAGTGAACAGTGCTCGATCAGTTCTGCATGCTGGGAGACTGGCAGATGAGTTACTGTTGGCGCAGGCCCGCATCATCTCCGTGAGTGCAGCACTCTCCATGCAGTTGGCTAGTTCACTCGTCCAAGCAGCTTTTATCTCTGTCGTTGACGCCACTATCAAAATACAATGCCTATCTTGTATCAATCTTTATATTTAGTCTACCGTTTAATGCATCTGAATTAAGTAAGATAGACGAAGTAATTTAAGCCTCAATAACTACATCATTTACTATGTATATTTTTATTATCAACATCAGCAATGAACAAACCAAGTTGAGCCCTATTTGGCTTTTGATGCAGAAAATGCAAGTATAAATTTCGTGACCTATGTATTAACTTAAAAGTGGGCTTCCTTAACACTCTAGCTACCGGAAAAATCGGAGGGGCAAGGAGAAAAAGATAATGAGACTTGGACTTTCGCAAATTAACATTTTATTCGATTAAGTATTTGTTACAAATGGATTGTTAGTTTATTCCTCGTTCTGACATCTTCCATTACCACCCGCTAGGCAGATTCACAATTTAAAATCCATTCAAATCACAATTTAATATTATTCCATTCATCATCCAAAACAAACACAACTCTCATTATGTACATTCTTTTAATAAGTATTATATATTATCACTTACCTAGATGGGCGCATATCTGCTGTCCCTTGACCTCTACTAATATTTTGAAGTCTCTTCCCATATAGATGTCTGGACCTGAGTAATTGAAATTTTTATGTGATCATGTACGTATATATGACAAGTCTTATTAAGATTTAAAGTTACATTAATACCAGTAATTTAAAACAGACATGCAAGCTACTTATTGGTAAAGTTAGTACATGTGACAGATATACTTATGTATCTTTACAGATTTCATTTATTCTGCTCTTCAAATTCTATTTAATTCAACCTTTTATACTCCCGTATTCTTTTTTAATCTTGTGGATGGTTATAAGGGTAGAAGAAGACCGAAAAAGAGATGGATGGACTGTGTGAAAGATGATATGGTTAAATAACGAAATGACTGCGAACAGAGAATAGAGATGAATGGATTACATTTTAAATTTTGAAAAATTTATGTGGGTTGTGGATATTAGATTTCTAGACTAGAATTATTCTAAATGTTATCAACCAAAAAAAACTTACAACACTGTAAAGTTTGAGATCCTTGTCGGCGTGATTTGCTAGATCTTGTAGATGGACCTGTAATATAAGACTTGTTTTTAGAAGTCGGTCAATATATCACCAGCTTATTTCCAAACTATTAATTAATGAAATCGTTTATCAACGATTTATTTTATTTTATTTGTAAACATATAAGCGCAAAGCGCGCATGGTTAAGCGATTTGCCATTCATAAATTGAGATAAATAAAGATGATTATTATTATTATCAATTACTTTTTCAAATATATTCTACTACGAATATATTCGTAGGAAATTTAGTATACAAATAGATCTTATTCCAGATGATACCTTCAATCCAAAAGGGCAACGCCGCGAAATACTACTGTTAATAAAATATACAAAATGTATACCATCGTCTTCATGGCAGGTTGGGTCTTCTATAAGCAAAGCGTCATGAAGTGGCAGTCTATCTTCAGCTTTCAGATGCAACCTTCCACCGCTAGCTCGTGTGGTAAGCAGTAAGTAGTTACTGAACAGAAATGCCAAGCGACCTTGTAGAGTTGCTTTGCGACCTTTCGCTACTACTTGGGACAGCATTCCTGAAAAATATTGATAATTATATCATCTAGGTAGATCGAATAAAAAGGGAAAATGTTAGGACGCTTGATCGAGACGATGAATTTATGAATAATAGTAATTATAATAACCCTGGACAATTCACACAGCACCATCCAGACCTAAGCTAAGTAGAGCTTGTACTAGATAAATGATAGATATACTTAGATACATTTTTGTTAATATATACGTAATATACATAGAAAATGCCTAGACTGATACAAATTATATTCATGAATAAAAATGTTTCTACCATGCGACATCAAGTCACTCAATCAGACATGAAGTCACTATCAGTTGAGATAAAATAAATAATTAAATATAATAATATAAATCTAGATACATTTTTGTTCATACATAGTAATATACATAGAAAATACCTAGACCAATACAAAAAATGTATTCATGAATACAAATGTTTCTAATTTGCGACATCAAGTCACTTAATCAGAAATGAAGTCACTATCAGTTGAGATGAAATGAATAATGTAAATAATTAAACATAATAATATAATCATATTCTACAAATAATATTATCTATAGTCATTGAACATTACCTTGCCGTATGAACACTTGGTTGACATCCAGTAATATATCACACCCTTCTATAATCATGCGCTCCAACGCCAAATTTTTCCTTATACTCTCCGTTTCACTGACCTGCGATTAAAATAGAAATTATTTAAAATATATTTATAATTTTGTACCATATATATATTTGTTGATGTGAAACATTGTAAAAAATCCCATTAATTGCAAACAGAAAATTCTAAAATGGTGATAATCGTTGTACACTCTATCCACTTACAAATTTATGAGAAATTACACAAATATATTCTCAAACTCAAAGTTTAGCAATTCTTATTTTAAGTATAAGAACCAACAAAATATGAGAGCTATAGATTTATCTGTAGCGTGTCTATCTGTTGTGGCACGTAGAGCTACTCCCATTTCTTCTATTTGTATATTTATTTTTTCCAGTCTTTTATTATGCTAGAGGTCTGTAATTAGTGTCCGAATTTATGTACCTATCCATTTATCAATTTATTATTATTTTCTCACCAACATTTAATATCTTTAAATACTACATCTAGTTAAATACTAGATGTAGACTGCGCACAAAGTCTTCTGCGTACCTAAAGTAACAGTTCCAGTATGAAAGGTGACGCAGATGCTACAACATTGAAATTACGGAGTACAGGATTCATGACACCTTATTCTTTAGGAACGGCAATGCATGAAACGTATCCTCTGACGCTCATAGCGCTGCTCAACTACTTACAGTTACTTAGTTACCGGCTAACTTATCATCCCAATGATATAACAGATCAACGACATAAGAATTTTCAAATAACTTCCAAACAAGTCCATAATAGATGATGTTACAGTGTACCTCGTCGTGCATTTGTCTAGAAAGGTCTTCAAGTTGTTGCCTCGCATGTTGCAGACTACGACGTTCCACATGGTCCGCAGGGGTGTGCGCCAATAGCTCGTGTAGCGTTATTATGTAACGGGGTATCTATGAAACAATTACGTTTTAATGAATCCGGAAAAAAAATCAAAAATACCATAACTGCAACTTTATTTAAAAACTATAACAGTAATTTAAAAAAAATATACAGTTATGATTATTTTAGTAAGTAGTGGAAAGTGAAATGTTATTAATAATAATAAAATGCCAAGTAACAATAAATTTAAAATTATCATCATAAAATTATCACAGTCATGGTTCATTATCATCATCATTTCAGCTCGGAAGACGTCCACTGCTGAACAAAGTCCCCCCCAAAATCGTCACGACGATCAGTCCTACGCTGCTCGCAACCAACGCTTTCCAGCGATCTTGACCAGATCGTTGGTTCTCGTTAATAACCAGTCATGGTTACTGAACAAAAAATAATAACAACAAGAAACAAGTACGTACATTAATTTATGATATTAATGTTTGAAAATAACCTGGTGCATGGGATATGTTAAAAAGGTCTCCAGAGTCCGATCTTGACAGGCCGGCTTCGATTCAAGTCTCGCTACCAGCTGAGTAAATGCAGGTTTCTGTTTGCACTCCGTAAGCACCTGGAGCGCATAGTGATGGTTTCGTACGTACTCCTGGTATATCGTTAACATTGGCACCAACATATCGAAGAGATCACCTGGAAGCAGTAATTTGTGTGATATTTATGAAGTACTTTTTTTTTTTATTTATTTTATTTGTTTCACTGACATTATTATTATTTATTTTTTTTATTAACATGTATTGACTTCAGCTGCGATTTGATACAGCCACACAGTTGTGTTTCACTAGGTGTTTATCATATATATTTATATAGATGACACACATCATATTTACATTATTTATATAATAAATAGTTTATGTTTATATATACATATATATATATATATATGCTATTTTATATATAATATTATATTTTATGTGAACGCATTTATAGTCTTATGTGTTATTTATCTTTTTTAAATTATTCACTATTGTTTTAGAGCATCATAAGAAGCCAGAGTCTCCGGCTTCGAAAATCGTTAGAGTCAATTTTATGCATTCGGCACACTTGTTCATGGTCGTAAATCAAAAAAGAAATTATTGAAGAGTTCAGACGTTTGCTTGTTTCCATCACATGGGCAGTATGAATTGTCGGTGATATGAAAGCGCATGAGATAACTCTTGACGTATCCGTGCCCAGTGAGAACTTGACTGAACACTAGCCTTAGACACATATTCATAGGCATACCACGCAGCGGAGCGACATCTCTATTTTAAAAAAGGTATTCAATATGAACGTGCAAGGACATAATGAGAAAACGATTACTTTCGAAAATCATTAGGTTTTGTTTAGGTTTAAATCGAAGAAAAATTCATAGAGTCCTTTTGTTTTTCTTACGCAGCGGTTAGAACAACTGAATTTTTATAGGCTAACAACTTTCTAGTACAGGTAAGCTATCACGTTCATCTATAACGTTGACGTTGTTATCTCCAGTATATTGTTTCACTTTCATATTTTATATATACCTTTCATCATCTGTTATTCATTATATTTATGAATATTGAAAACTTACTTAATACAAGAGTTGGCCATGAGTCCATTCTTGCTGTAAGACCTTTATAGAATATTTGGTGTAAGAACAACACCGTTTCCACGTTCAGGAAAATGGAATTCACATCTTCGTGGGTGCATGGAGGCTTTTTTGAACTGGCAGCCATTTTGAATGGACGATAAAAGCAGGATACCTACAAGAACACGTAAAATGTTAGTCATTCTTCTATCTGGTAGATCGTCTGCCGTTTCAATTTTAGACAAAATATTTTTTACCTAGCTATGTTACATAATCTGCAAAACCTTCAAAATTCTAAATTTAAATGGTTATGTAGAGGTAAATTTAGTAGTAAAGTATGTACTATAAATTATCACTTACGCAGCATATATAATTTCATATATCAGTGTGGTAACATCAAGCGTTTACTACGGGACGTATTTTTATTTATAATCCCGGTAGATTATCAATTATCATTAGCAACAAATGTAGGAACAACCCCTACATGATTAGTATTCAGAAAATATATAATTAAAGTAAAATTTCAGCTAAAGAGAATATATAAAAATCCTCACCAAAATTTCTAATTGCTCAAGATATTCCTCCTCCGCTTCAACCATTTTGAATACAAGACTGTAATGAAAGATTTAGTTGAATCGCTATTACAATTGATTAAGATAACAATTATGTAGCTAGTAGTTACGCACCTGTTTCTTTTTCGCATACTTTCAGCAAACGGACTCTTTATATACATATCTACAATTTGTTTCCAGCGTCGTCTGCAGAGCCAGCCACGGAAGAAACTCTTAACAGTAAAAAAACATTTACAAGTAATATGTTTAATATTAAAACTGTCAATAATATTACTACGTTCAAAGCTTTTCTATAATTTTCATACTTTAATTCACCCTGACATGGATTATATGGACTTTAAAATAGATTTAAACGGAAGTATGATCTAAATGTGAACAATAATATTAAATATCCTAATAAAGTCAAATAAATAAGACGACCAGTAAATCAATGATATTAAACTCTTGATTGTATGGATAAAAGGCAACCATTTAATACATAGAATAAATTATCCTTTTGCTAAATATTACTTTTAAATTACCTGCACTTTCTTAATTTGTCGTAACTCCGCTGGCTCTAGTTTATCAGAGTTCTCCAGATCCTCTACAGGTTTTCCAGCTTCTTTTCTGTAGGTTATAAGCTGTAAAATATAATAATTAGTAATATTTTTAATCAAACAGAGCCTGTATTAGGTTAGCTACTCAAACTACGAATATTAAATATTAGTTAAGTGTCATCTACTGCTACAAAAACAATCACCCGTGTTTGCAGATTGTTCAAGTATAACAAAATCATAACAATTCAACTACTTATTAAATAAATAGTCACCATTCTGTCTGGCCTTATAGTTGTCAAAAACCATAATAATAATTTTGCGTTAATAAATAATAAATATACATACTATACATATAATAATATAGGAACAGAAAATAAATAGAATAGCAATTAATGCAATTATAATTTATTTAGTTAGTTTAATGCCAATGTGATTGACGATTTAGGTGGTATTTAAGGGGGTTTGGCCACGGGTTTAGGATTTGCTTTATATGCATTTAAAAGCTATATAGGTATAATCTACCCAAGCAATGACTTTGCACCAATAAATAATCTTACTTATATAATATATATCAATGTACAGTGGGCGATAGAGACAAAAGAATATTTTAAAATTTTGCAATTTACATTCTAAAAGTAAAACATAACTAAATGAATGAAGCCAATAAATGCAAATACCCACTGTACATTATTTATGTGCATATCTATGTTCTAGGTAATGTTGGGATCACTAAGGAAGTATTCTTTAAATTTACCTCCGAAGTGGATGCAGCCGTAGGTGTAAGCTAGTTCAAAATTAAATATAGTGTTCTTATTTACCAACAATATTCTAGCTGTTCTAAAAATAGCAGCTCTATTCAATACAAAACATTATTATTAATCTAGTCAGTTCTTTTATAGCAATTCTTTTTTTAATATTACAAACCGTTAATAAAATTAATATGAAATTTGGAAAATTAATTTGGACTTTAGCACAAGACAATTTTACACGTATCATTTGCATAGCATTGTCAAAGTTGTCTGTTAGTCGATTTATAGCATCAACGTTTCTTTCCGATATCTCGTTTCACTATTTGTCTGTATTTGCATATTATTGGATAGTGTCAGCAAGTTTGCCAACATTATCCAACTCGGTATTATCTAGCACAGTAACATCTCACCTCTTTCTTGAGTTTCTCAACTGTTTTACACAGTTGCTCCACCTGTGCAGCATATTTCCAACGCGCGGCTACGTTTAACGTCAGCACCTGCAAGATATGCAGTTATTTCCATTCGAGTCGTTTCTTTAATGGTACTTAACATTCTATTATTATAAAGATTAGATTTTTATTTGACATTATGCCTACAGCAAGCTTCTATCATAGTACCGCCCGCCATCGACTGGGATTTCATCTTTCCTCTAGAAGTTAAAGTGATTATGGAAATTGCAGAATAATTTCCTCCCACGCATATTCTAATTGTGGAATGAACTACCTGTCCAGGTTTTTTCTAGAGACTACATAGCATAGGGTTTCAGGCAGACTGCTGAGACATGAGCATACAGCTCATGATGCTCAGATTGTTACCACTAAAAGAAACTACCACTTAAAGAAAAACACCACTTAAAGAATTTATAAATTCCTTAAACTATAGTAGTCAGAGATACGTATAATGATATCAGCAAGTAATATGTCATGTTTTTTAAAAAAAACACAAAACACAAACTATAATCCTCAGGGTTCTCTACGTGTAATTCAGTCTATGTTACTGTCTGTTGTTGAAGTTGTCTATAGGTGAAAGAGATTTTTCATCACAAACACAAATTTAAAATCAAATTGTGTTTGTAATAAAGTTTAGAATATTAATATTCACCTCTGACTTCAGTTTTTTGACCTCCTGGCTCAGGTTATCTCTTTCGACCTTATACTCCCAGCGGCTTGTCCGTTCACACTCCATCAGTTGGATGAGATGACGATTCTGGTGTTCTAGCGCCTCCTTCTGCATCAGCATCTTGTTGAAACTGAAAAGATTTAATAATTTAATTCAATAGCAGCAATTGCTTAAAATCCTATTATGATCATTAATTAAGTAAAGTTTTGTTTATCTTTTGGTCATTTGGCTCCCCAAAATATGATCGAGCGCAGTGATGGCTGACGAGTATGACGCATACGTCATACTCGTAAACCAGTGCTGCTTGTAGAGACTAGTTTGCTCTAATCACTACGACTGCTTTAATCTTATTGTGTATTCAATTTGACCCTAATAAATTAGTTCTAGGTGGTATTATGTATACACACGTTTCGCCTTCAAAAGTTACAACAATTATTTTCTTGCTCATTCTTCTTGTGATGTGACAGCTTTCCGTATGATTGGTAGATTAAAAGAAGGATGACTATACAAAAGTGCTTAAATTAAGTTTATTGAAATAAATTATTGTCTATCTATATTTCTCTTTCTTCTTCTCCTCTTAGTCCTACATATATATATGCATGCACATTGAGGTAACTCAACTAATAGTTACTTATCGAAATTTTCTTTCGTATCCTTAATGTTAACGAAATATTCTATAGCCAATAGTGTATATGTTCATCAGGGATAATGTAGGATTCTAATGATCATAAAGATTAAATCGTTAATTAAAATAGGAATAACCCAATCAGAGACAGTTCATTCGATTATTGTATTAATTAATTAAATTATAATTCATTAATTCAAAATACTTCTATTTCTAAACCCGTATATTTGTATTTTAAACCCGGCTTCGCACGGATGCATTACAATTTTTTTTATGTCTCGCCTTGTTCTATTCTATAACACGCATGTACTATATATATAAACGTTCCTCTTGAATCACTCTGTCTATTGCTGACTGCATTAAAATCCGTTGCGTAATTTAAAAGATATAAGCGAACAGATACTGGCGGCGAATTTGTTTTATACTATGTAAAGATTGAGAAAGAAAGAACTAGTTTATTTCTTTCTCAATCTTTAATACTATATAAATATGGGACACAGTTACCTAGATACATCAAAATAATAATTGCATTTAATAATGGCTAGTAAGACAAATCCAATATTGTCTACTAAGCACTGCTGTGTCTAAACTGTGTCACCCCACCTTACATTTTCCTATTGTTATTTAGTATATAAGATCATTAGTTCTATTTACATATTGTCAGTCAATTACTCTATCTGTGATATACACCGTCTCGACCAACAACATCGTATTATTCACCCGCAACAATAAACTTACAACTAATTGCAAACACATTTATATCATTACTACTTACTTCACTATATAAAGACAGGTACATTCCAATTTTATTTATTACTAGCTGTTCCCGCGACTTCGTCCGCGTGGAATTTAACTTTATTTTTCTAAAATAAAAGTAGCCTAAGTTAGCCAATAAAAGTCCCGTCAAAATCGGTCCAGCCATTTCAGAGATTAGCCAGAACAAAAAGACAGACAGACAGAAATTATAAAAAATGTTATTTTGGTATATGTACGTATAACATATATTCATATGCATGTAGTAAAAAATGGTTATTTCAATATTACAAACAGACACTCCAATTTTATTTATATGTATAGAAGTATAGACTAACTGACCCGCACAACTTCACACACATCACGCTTATCATTATAAATCGCCCAATTTATGTAATATATTTTTATATTATCGCCTATGTGTTATTCTGATGTATAAGCTATGTTACTGTAAAGTTTCATCAAAATCCATTCAGTAGTTTATGCGTGAAAGAGTAACAAACATCCGTCCATACTCACAAATCTTCGTATTTATAATATTAATTTAGAAAGCAAGGCTTCTGGGTACACGTCAGCATCTTGGACCTTACCCATTACCCAGTTTCATTATCCTGTTGAAATTGAATAACGTTTTATTTTTATGTAAAGTGTTAAATTAACATCGGTTTCCCGCTCAACTCGGTCGCTAGTGGAAACGCCATTGAGAATATAGGTCACCGGACCATCATATCGAGAGCCCCCGGGAAATAGAAGGACGCAACCTCTAAATTTATATGGGCCGATTCAAATCGAATAATTAATAAGCAAGTACCTATTTTGATAATATTGGTTTTGCCGAAAATGTTTCTTGAAATAATAAATATCGTAATGTATATTAGAAACATGCAAGTTTTTTGTTCATTCTTCTTGTGATGAGTCTGGTAGAATAAAAAATATGAAAAAATAATAATATATGACTATTCAAAAGTATATTTTAATTTCGATTTCTAAGGGAATTTCAACAAAATACATTAGTTATACCACAGATAACATAATATCACATAGTTATACGTATAATTATATCAGTATATCTACCCGTAATTATAGCGGTTGAAACACTGCCGAAATATCGGGAACTCAATAAAAATTACCAGGTTTTATTTTTATTGAGTTTCCTTGATTTTAACTAATTATACATACTTATTATTTTTACATAATAAGTTAAATAATAACCGCATCAAATTTATTATAAATAGTATGTAACAAAATATTAGTTAAAATCAGAGATTTCTGAGATTAACTGGAAACACTCTTAGAATAAATCATAATTTTCACGGTCTTCTACAATTACGCGTACAAATATGATTGAAGAAAAAAATAGTCTACCTATACCCTTAGGGGGGTTAAAATAAAAAATAGGGGATGAAAGTTCGTAAGTAAATAAGTCGTAAAAGTAATAAGTCATTTTGTAAAGCTAGAACGGTGAAATTTTTTTTTTTTTGGGTTATTTTTTTTTATTTAGTCAATGTTCCATGTGGATGAACTCGCGGGCACAGCTAGTGCTATAATAATTCTTTCGAATAATCATTGTAGTATTAACGACTATTTTTATTACACTCGTATACATAGATTAATGCAGTTGAGAAACTTAGTGCATCTATATCTAGACATAAAGGAATATATGGTCTTTGTACTATAGTGGGTCACGGCTCGCCTTAATCCGTAGCATGCAAACGGAAGCATAGTTCTTGTTCTTCTCACAATGAATGCATTTGTCCTCGAGTTCTACAGTAAGTTCTGCATTGAGGTAAGTAGGTACTCACCTACTTCTATAAGAATGATAAACGACCTACTTGTCAGGTAGGTATGTGCAAATTTCAAAATTATCTGTATAGTAATACATGAAGCAAAAACTTTGTAGCCCTTTTTACGAAAATGTGCAGATGGAGCAGTATGAAATTTACTACTTCGAAATTTACACTTTAATAATGCAATCTTAATAATATAATCTTATATATAAAATTCTCGTGTCACAGTTTTCGTTCCCATACTCCTCCGAAACTCCTCGGCTTGACCGATTCTCATGAAATTTTGTGAGCGTATTGAGTAGGTCTGAGAATCGGCCAACATCTATTTTTCATCCCCCTAAATGTTAGGGGTAGTCCACCCCAAAAATTTTTTTTTATTTTTTCGACAAAATTTTTAGTTTCTATTTTATTCTGATATAACATATAAAAATACATACAATCCTAAATTTTCACCCTTCTATCATCAACCCCTATTTTTTTTATAGCGTTATTAATTTATATGGCAAAACAACGTTTGCCGGGACAGCTAGTAATACTATAAACGCGAAAGTTTGTAAGTATGGTTGTTTGTTACTCTTTCTACATAACTGCAACACAGTTTTTATAAACTAATGTAGTTGTTTACGTTTAACATATTATTGTTATAACTATGTTTATGGTTTAAATAAATTCTTAATTCTAATTTCATGCAAAAGTATTGAACGGATTTTGATGAAACTTTACAGTAATATAGCTTATGCATCAGATTAACACATAGGCTATATTTTATATTGAAATTTATCGAGGGTGAAACTGAGAGCACAGCTAGTTTAAATTATTATTGTAATTTTTTACGCGCCGGAAACGGCACGGCATGTTTGGAATAATTATGGTTTTAAGACCATTATGTACACATGTTCCAGTAAATAAGTTGAATTGTAATTGGATTGAAATTGAATTGGGATTCACGTTATGTGAATTGGGTACGGATATTATTATTATTATTATACGCATAATATAATATATAACATATTAAATTCACACTATTCTTCATTATATAATTGTGTTATTATATGATGTAATGTATGACATTATATTATGTTTAACATAATAATAATTTCCGTTATAACATTGAGAGTAACGCAGCTGGAATCGAGTCAACGAGAGCTTCAAAGCGTTAGTGGCCCGGGTCCACACCAACATGCAGTCCACCTTCATGAAGGAGTACTACTGGCTGAACGGGGTGGTGTATCGTCAGTGCCGTGACCATAGAGACAATTTGAATTTATATTTTATTATTATTTCTTACTGTGCCCAAGCAACCTCTGCTACACACTTACCATTATATCACGCCCAATTTACATAATATCTTTTTAAATTATAGCCTATATGTTATTCTGATGCATTAGCTATCTATGTATCGATATATTAGTTAGCTGATGTATATCTATCAAAATCCAGTAAGTAGCTTTTGCGTGACAGAGTATCTAACAAACATCCATGCATACTCACACACTTTCGCGTTTATAATATTAGTAAGATGTAGGTTAGTCTATAATGTATGTATAATATGGGGTAACCTGAATCAATAAAATGTATGTAATTCCATCTACATGGAACCAACAACAGAGCTGGTGCGGCATGTGAAGCGGCTGAAAAAGCCAAAACATGTAAATACAGGGGTCTAGGCTCCGAATATGAATTTGTCCCATTCGGTATCGAGACCTTTGGTCCGTGGGGTCCTAGCGCTATAAGAGACTTTTCAAAGAAATAACGAAAAGGTTAGTCGACATCACAGAAGTCCGAAGAGCTGGCAGCTACCTTGGACAAAGAATTAGTCTAGCTATTCAAAGAGGGAACGCTGCCAGTATCTTCGGAACGTTGCCTAAAGGGACCCCTTCTAATAATATATTTTAGTCATCATATTATATTTTTTTTAAGCTTTTTAATTTTAGGTTCTTAGTTGTACAATTAGGTTATGTAAATACTAGTAATAAATATTGTCTCGTAGTGGACACAATGGAATTTGTCAATAACAAACTCTGATGCACAGTTCAACAGTACATTTAATTTTGCCTTTTAGTTTTTACAAATAAGAAATTAAGAATAGCTAGCCGTGAAACAATTAGAAATAGTAATAAAAATAGATAATAATATCGACTAACTAGAGGGTATACATAATAAAAATTATAACGCCTGTTCAACAGAATTAGCAAAAACTACGGCTACAATGTTGGCTTTAATAAATATATTTATCTGAATTAAATAAAATAAATATAATATTTATCAGCTCCAACTCGATTAAAAATTACTCGCCGCAGCGTCCCTGTACGGGCGGCCCCAGCGAGACGGGTCACGGCCAGGGTGACCTTAATCCCGCTGCGCTTGTATCCATGACTACTGGAGAGTAAAGGTATCTCCGAGAGCTGCAAACGCTGCTCACTTAGGTATATTCTCTAATATTTATAGAATAAAATAGAATAGAGATGATCTTTATTCAAATAAACTTAAAATTGTTTATTTTATTATTCTACCACTCATTCGGAACGCAGACTCATCACAAGAAGAATGAGCAAGAAATTTGCGTGTCGGTTGTCTAGCGGTTTAGACACCGCCTTACTTCCGATGTTCGCGGTTCCGATTCCTTGCCGGGTACAAACATTTGTATTGATGAATCTGATTGTTTGTATCGGGTGTTCTGGATATATTATTGATACATTTAAAAAAAATCTAAGTATTTATATCAGTTATCTAGTACTCATAACGCACTCTCTGCTTACATTGGGACTAGATGGGGCTATGGTAATTGTTCAGGTGTTCCGTATTCCGAACCTCCTTAGTCTAAGCAGGTTGTATCACCGGCTTGCTTACTGAAGCAAAGGGCGCTCGGTAATACTGGCCACATATAAAAACATGTGGCCACTTAAATTTTATAAAAAGAATAAAAAAACAATTGAAAATAAGAACTGGAATTAAAAGGACGCTCCGTATTTTTATCTACAGAAAACAAGATAATTAAGGAATTATTTAACACAATATAATTGTTTTTGATGAAAATATATACTCTAGAGTGCGTGGCCACTAAACAGTACTACACATCGGGACGTTCCTGAGCAAAGGTGAGTAAGTTTGGTGTTACATTGCTTACTTTGGGGTGTTCGGAGTGTGGAAGACGTTCTTCCAGGTCGAAATCGTATTTTTATTTCCTTTTCCATTAATTATTTTCTTTTCAATAAATACAGTCCACTCTCTCTTTTATATATTAATTTATAAGGATTCGTAATCCAACACCAGGGTTATTTATTTATTCTTATATTATTATAACTACTATATTTTTTGTAAATACATATTTATGAAGTATGTATTTGTAAAAACAGTGTCTAAGAATTTATATCAGTTGTCTAGTACCCATAACACAAGCTACGCTTACTATGGCACTGTGTTATTCTGATATCTTTGTAAATACTATAATTTTTGTAAATATATACTTAACAATTATGTATTTACAAAAGATATACAGATATTTTTTATATCAGTTATCTAGTACCCATTACACAAGCTCTGCATACCCTGGCACTGTGTTAATTGACTAAACAAAAAAAAACCTAAAAATCAATAAATTTCAATAGAATTTACCGAACCATGAGTATGTTGAATATATATCAAAACACATATGTGTACTCACATACTCAGTCAGCTGTGAAAGGATAATATTTCAGTCGCGCATGCGTAGTGCGTCAGCTTTGATCCGATTAGTAGAACGAATGTACAAGCCGTTCTTTTACGTATCATAAGAAACCAGGGCTGACAACACAGGATCCCCGTAAGTACAAAAAGATTCTATTTACTATCTACCCGCTGCTCTTCAGTTTACCCGTGTTCATGGCGGTTGAAACACTGCCGAAATATCGGGAGCTCAGTAAAATAAAAAAAACATGGTAAGACCCCGTGATTTTTACTAACTATACATACAATATGGGTAAACCTGCCTGTGTGTGCCACAGCAATACAAAATAGTACACAACTCAGTGTGGAACATCGAGAGTGAAAGCGTCTTGCGGCACGACTAGTGCCCTAATCTTACTAATATTATATTATCTGTGCTAATATTATAAACGCGGAAATTTGTGAGTATGGATGAATGGACAGATGTTACTCTTTCACGCAAAAACTACTGAATGGATTTTCTTGACTCTTTACAATAATATAGCTTGTACAACATTGTACACAAAGGATATAAATTACACGCGGGTAAACTGCGGGCACAACTAGTAGATTACAAGAATAATACAAAAAAATTACTTCGTAGGGTTTAAAAATGTAAAATGTTCATAACACAACGCAAGTTTCAAGTCGTGCCTGATCCTGGTCCTCAACAACATGCTGCCCACCTTCATGAAGGCGGCCTATTGGCAGAAAGGGGTGGTGTATCGGCGCTACCGTGGTAGATTGCCGTCCTAAGTACCGTGACCACACAGACAATTTATATTTATATTAGTATTTTAGGCTACTACTAGTCTCAAATAAATAAATAACATAAAAATTAATACGTATGTGGAAATTTTGTGTGAAAATTTCAATGGATTCTTGATTAATTTGAAAAAAGATTTGGACCCGGTAGGAAGCGCTACATTTCTGGGTAGTACTACGTCTGCCAGGTACACTAGTATATAATGTTTGTAATACTTAACTAATAAAATTACTTAATAATTGTACAATAGAAATTATAAACAAAAGAACACATTCGACTTAAATAATAAATACGTACAATATATAAATAAATACAATGGCGGACTTATCCCAAAAGAGGGATTTCTTCCAGTCAACCTTAGAGTGACTGAGAGGATTTGTGGAGTGGTGGACATATGTAGGTACAATAAATAGTATGAGTCACAATGAAATATATACACAACTATATGTAAATATAGTAATCACTACTATGTAAGCAATTTGCTTATTAAATGCACCAAAAATTCAAAATCATTATTTATGTTAAGTAAAAAATATGTATTTGTATGAAATTAGAGAGTTATTTTACGACGTTTTTTAAGTAATCAGTACGAGGTAAGAATTTTTAAGCTTGGCAACCCTGAAAGAAACTCAATACAGACGACGAAGTATATCGAATGGTTGCACACACCACTGAATAATATTTCATGATTGTTTACAATCTATTCACGCGTTTTTTATGATTGAGTAACTTTATACGTTCCCGATATTGATTGTTTACACTCAATTTAGTTACGATTTTTATATTAAATTGGAAAGGTAAACAAAGTAGTAAACATCACCTATACACATAAGTACCATGGCACGTTGTCATTCCTGAGGTCTAAGGTATCCTATGTATTCATTTACATAAAAAAAATATCTAAGTATTTATATCAGTTGTCTAGTACCCATAACACAAGCTTTGCTTACCGTGAGACTAGATGACGCTGTGTTAATTGTCCAAGTCTTATTTATTTATTTATTACCAATAAGTTCATAACCATATCTCACCTTTCAAAAAGAAAATTTGTTTCAAATTATCAAATAAAACTGTCAAAATGTTAAATATATAGTTTGTTGAGTAATTAAATAAATCAGTCGCAGTGATTGGTACAAATGAGCTGACCAGCACATTATATGTGATGTAGCACTCGAGTATCGGTTAAGCAGGAGCTGGCCTTCAGCTGCTCCATAAGGCCTTCCGCGGGTTTGAAGTACCATCGCACTCGCCATCGTTGCCATCCGATCGATTCCCTATCCAATACAAACGGGGATCGAAATTACGAGCCGAGGTTCGAACCCCTAGCGGTACCGTCAGACTAAAGTCGTATCCGTCAGACGGGAGTCGGCCTTCAGCCGATCCATAAGTCCATCCTTTCGTTTGGAGTGCCATTTGCACTCGCCTCCTATCGTCCGGTGAAGTTGTAAAGGCCAGCAACCGCCAAGAGCACTTATCATAGTCGGGATGGACTCATTGTCGAACTAAGGTTTGAAAAGAATCCTGAATATGACAAAGAAGACTTGTTACTGACAGCTTCTCCACCATTCTTGTTATAAATTTTATATTATTATGATATCTATTTCGTATGTCACTTTTGACTTCTTCTCTGTGAACTCTTTTGATAAATATACATTTATTACAATTATTAAAGATTTTTATTAATGGTCGTTGTGTTTCCGCTACAGTCACAAGACTTATTATTGTACATATCATACTAACCTCGCCTCCTGTATAGCGTCGATCCATAGTGAACAATCCGCGTCGGAGGTGGCACGGAACTCGTACTGACGCTGGTTCTCCCGACGGTAAATGATCACGAAACCGAACTGCGACAACATGTACACATTATGTTTAATTTCTTTATTCATTGATACTATGGGTACTTTTTATATATATAAAACATATAAAATATGTGATAATAATAATAATAATGCTGGCACAACGCCATCTAGTCCCAAGTTAAGCAAGTAGTTTGTGTTATGGGTAGTAAACAACTGATATAAATACAAAATTCTTTTTATTTAAGTAAATACATATAGAAAACACCCAGACCAGTCCAATACAAACAATTATACTCATGAATACAAATGTTTGCAACGTGCGAGGAATCGAGCCCGCGACCATTGGAATAAAAGCGATATGATAAATTGCTGAACCACCAAGGCCGTCAAGAATCTTAAAGTACTAGGAGAACAGAAATGTGATGGTAGTTACCGTAGGCTCCTTGTCAGTAGGCATTCCTACGACTCTCTCACAGTAGGACCCCTCCAGTAGCACCACGCCTATGGGTCTCACATTTGAATCCGACTCGTAGTAAAACAGCAAGTTCTGGGTGAAAAAAAATCAAGTTATTGCAAACCAATTGCTTGCCCCGGCATCGCCCGAATGTTCCTCTTTTTATGTTTAACTAACTACATGCGCCGGCTGCGCACGGCTGTACATGTATTACATATAAACCTTCCTCTTGAATCACTCTATCTATTACTAAAAACTGCTTTAAAATCCGTTGCGTACTTTAAAAGATCTAAGCGAACGAAAAGCGTAGGCGATTTCATTTTATACTATGTAAAGATTAGAATGGCAAATAAACAGACAGCCGTCAGACCTGATGGTAAGCGGTAACCAGTTTCCTATATAGAAGAGAGATTGTAAATAATGTGGACTAATAGCCCCATTGCTAGCAATCCACATTGACAGGTTGACATCTACGCGGATCTTCCTGGAAACAATCATGATAAATTCCTAGTGAATTTGACACGAAGGGGTAACTAACTGTCTCGAGCTCATGCTCATCTTATCATCCAACACAGATGCCCCGCCAATGTAAACCTTTATCGCAGGCGGGTGCACCGTTTATAATAATAATAATAATAATAACAACAGGTAGCCAAAATTGCGCTAGAGGGCGCCGCATAGTAAACATTGGCTCCGCGTTAATTATCTTTATAAAATACAAACCAAGCTTATTTAATCAAAATTTATTAAATATAAGTTAACAAGTTAATTAATTATAATTGGATATTATTTTTGAGTGTAAATTGTGGATCGAAGTGCCAAACAAAAAACAACATACGAAGTACCGGATGAGTGAATAAAAGGACACTTACTTGAATCGTAGTGAGTACTATGCATCCATATAAACACTAAAATAAACCTGTATTAATCACATAATAACAGTGAAAATAATCTGCACAAATAAAAAATAACACTACAAACTATCTCCATACGCAGAATATTTAAATACCGTCAATAGTACTCACAACTAACAGAACACGATAAACTGACCTTTGGACTTTAATACGATTCCATTAGAGAGGAGTGTAACGACAAGAAATTGTAACTCAATACAAAGGAATCGGTATTTTTACTGCTTATGATTATACATTGTTGGTTCAGTTTATAACTGGCACGAAAAAACTTTTGCGCCGAGAGGTCGTGCGTTCGAATCCAAACCAGGCGTTATAGAAAAAATAATTATTTGTTCATATAATGGACAGAAATTCAAAGCAAACATCACATGTAACTTCGGTTATTGAAACGCGTATGCTAAAGCGTCTACAAAATAATACAATTAACGAATTAGAAATACAAATAGAGGATAAAAACGATAGCATTAGGACATACGAGAAATTAATATGTAATATTGACATAAAATTGAAGGAAAAGGAAAGATTAGTACAAACATTAGTAGAGGAACAGGAACAGAATAGTATAGAATTTGAAAAGATATGTAAAGAAAATCAACTTTTAAAGAAATGTTTGGCAGACAAAGAAGCCGTTATTATAAACTTACAAAATGATCTCATTACTATGGAAACATTCAACAATAAAGTAAATGACGACTACGAGGAAGCCGTGAACATAAACAACAAGATATTAACTCCCTATAAAAAACAATTAAATGATATAAATGTTCAAAATAGATTACTACAGATTAAATTGAACCAAATCACAGAGAGTTATAACAACCTTAAGACCAATTTGGAATCCAGGAAGACGCCAATTACAAGTTTTATAGGCAGTAAACTACATAAAAACAGAAAACTTTTAAAAAGAATTAGACGGCAGGCTAAACTTATCAAAAAGATACATACAGAATATACAAAATTAAAAAGAGGGTCAGCCCACCCAAACCTAATTATAACAAATAATCCAAAAATAAGAAATATTCAAAATAAATATATAGACAAAATAGACATTGATATTAATAATTTAAACAATCGGAAACAAGGAAAACTTTTAATTTTCTCTGATGAAACAGGACGAGGAGTAGGCGAGTATTTTAAGCGAAACTGTCCCGAATTTGACGTCACTAACATATGTAAACCCTATGCTAGTACTGATAAAATATTGGAAAACTTTAGGAAATATGTTTTGGGTTACGGAAAAAATGACTTGGTTATTATATTGATTGACGAATTCAGTACGAATAAAAATATAACTAAATATCCTCAACTTTTGAGTAATATCTTACATACTGATAGCTCCCGTGAATATGGAATAATGTTTGTAAGTTTAAAGTATATACATATATATGATATTAATAAAAAGTTATATTCTTTAGCTACCAATTATAATAAAATAAAATACATTGAATCAAATGATGATAATGAGGGTATCCTTCCACGTAACAGGAAGCTTCTGATAATGTCAAATATGATCAACAATAAGTTTCAAAATTCATCTTCACTCAGCTTTCTCAAGTATCATAGTGAAGAATACAACCCTGAAACCCAAAATTTTACAATGCTGCCTCCACTAAGGATGAAGAAATAATAATTTTACATTCTAATGTACAAAGCATGAATAATAAAATAGAAGACATTGAATTATTAACAAACAGTATGAATTGTGATGTGATGTGTTTAAGTGAAACTTGGGTGTCCGAGTTGCAAATTAATATAATAAATATTAATAACTTTCAATTAGGGTCATATTTTTGCAGAAGAAAAAATAAGCATGGCGGTGTTGCCATATATGTCAGAAATGAAATGAAATATCGCACTAGAAATGATATAGGACGTTTATCTGAAGAGTTACACTGCGAATTAACAGCAATTGAACTGAAGTCATCAAATACTATAATTGTTTGTATATACCGGGCAAATTATGACATAAATATATTTTACGACACGATTTCTAAAGTTTTAAATAAAATCAGTAAAGAAAATAAACAAATAGTTTTGTTGGGTGACTTCAATTTAGACTTCCAACTTAAAAGTAAACATTTAACAGACTTTAAAATAATACTAAATAATTTCGGCATGAAACACGTTCTTATCAAAGAGCCTACTCGTGTTACAGAATGTACTGCATCTTGTATAGATAATTTTGTAACTAATTTTCATGACAAATCTGTGAAAAGCAGAGTTCTAGACTATAAAATATCAGATCATAATGTTATTAAACTTAGTTATACATGTAAATCAAAACATAATGGTAAAAAGGATGTTAATAATATTTTTATAGGACGTAATTTCTCTAAAAGTAACTGTTATTATTTTCACTATCTAGTAAACACTGACAAACATTTTTATGATGAAGTAGATAATTGTATTGACTCAAACAAAAAAGCTGAGATTTTTATACTTGGATTAAAATATTTTTATGATATCGCATTCCCTAAGAAGAAAATGTATGTAAGAAAAAACCAATCTAGATGGGAAACCAAAGGAATACTCAAATCAAAGGACACTTTAAATAAACTCGAATTATTACAATGCATTTACCCATCCAATAGACGAAAACAAAAAATCAATAAATTCAAAAAATGTTTAAAAAAAGTAATGGTAACTGCGAAAAAAATACAGATATCATATAAAATTAAACAATCCAATAACAAGATAAAAGAATGCTGGAATATAATTTCTAAGTTGACGCGAAACAATGGAAAACAATTCTCAAAAGGTACGATTGACAAAATTAAAACAGAAAATGGAACAGTTGCTACAAACCCGATTTTAATCGCAAATTTTTTAAATAATTTTTACTGTAATGTTGGAGAAAAAATAAGCAATACTGTAAAGATGGACAAAATAAAATGCACGAAATTTCTATCCATGATAAAAAAACCATGTACATCACTAACTTTTCATGGAATTACTTTACAAGAATTGGAATATATTATGCGCTCTATAAAGTCTAAAAAATCTAAAGATATTTATGACATGGATTATAGAATAATTGAATTAATATTAAATAATGACAAATTAATTAATTTATTACTTATTGTTGTAAATTCATGTATTGACGAAGGAGTATTCCCGGATGTTTTCAAATTTGGTAAGATTATCCCAGTATTTAAAAAAGGTGACGCTGAAGAACCTACAAATTATCGTCCAATATGTATTTTGCCTGTACTTTCTAAAATTATGGAAACAATATTAAAGAAATATATGGTGCAGTATTTCGAGGAAAATAATCTCTTCACTGACAAACAATATGGTTTTAGATCAGGAAGGTCGACAGGTATGGCAATTACTAACACCATGGAATTTATACTGGAATCTCTTGATAAATCTATGAAATGCGGTAGCATTTTTTGTGACCTCACTAAAGCCTTTGACTGTTTGAGACATGACATATTATTTGATAAATTAGATTACTATGGACTTAGACATAATGCTATTAAAATAATGAAATCATATTTAAATAACAGAAAACAGATAGTATCGTTAAATGACAATACAGTATCAGAAATGCAGAACATTAGTATTGGTATTCCTCAAGGTTCCATCCTTGGACCTATTCTTTTTCTTATATATGTAAACGACCTGCCAGCTAATTTACCAGAAGAGGCGTTTGTAACTTTATTTGCAGATGATACGCATGTAGGAATAAGAAATACAAATAAAACGGAACTAGATAGAATGATGACTAACACTGTAGAAACGCTGCATGAGTGGTTTCAATCGAATGGTATTGTATTAAATGCCGCTAAAAGTATTTTAATGTCTTACTCCACCAGACGTAAGAAGCAAAATTCTGTCTGTTCTGACAACACATATAGTCAAAGTACCACATTTTTAGGATACACTATTGATAGTACAGTAAGTCATGCATCACATATCGAAAGATTATGTAATAAATTAGCATCAGCCAATTATGCTTTGAATAAACTGAAGCAAGTATTATCAAAAAAAGTACTGAAAACTGTGTACTTCGCATATTTTCAGTCTTCATTGTCATATGGTATTACAGTCTGGGGTAATGCAAGTCTCATAGCAAAAGTCCTGAGGCAACAAAAAAGAGCTATCAGAATTATATGCGGAATCCATAGACGCACCTCTGTGAGACCGTATTTCATTGAACAGCGTATAATGACAGTTACATCATTGTTCATATACTATTCCTTGTTAGACATACACGAAAAGAGCAAAACACTGCGTAAAAAGGCGGATAACCATAATTACATGACACGAAATGGACATAAATTAGAATTACCAAGATTACGACTTACAAAAACAATAAAACAAGGTATTTACTTAAAAATAAAAATGTACAATAAACTATCAAATAAAACAATGCAATTAACATCAACAGAATTTAAGAACAAAATAAAATCATATTTCGAACAACATCCTTTTTACAATGTGACGGAATATCTGAATTCCAATGTACAATTATGACATTTTCCATTAAGTGACTTTTATTACTATGTTTTATATTATTTAATTTATTATTTTGAATACTTAAAATTGTAATTGTGACATAATTATTTGAAAATGTAATTACTATTGACATGCTGTTGTGTAACGAGATTTGTTACATTTGTGAATAAAGTAATATGAATATGAAAAAAAATACTCCATCAAGAACTAGCTCTGAAATACGGCCTCACGAATGAGAGGTTGCCGTACTATAAGTACGAGCCCCAGCCGGTCCTCGAAAGCCACAGCGTCAAGCTCTACTGGGACCGATCCATCATCACGGACAGGACCGTTCTTGCGAACAAACCTGATATCGTGGTGATGGATCGGGCACTTTCGAGGGTGTTTTTGGTGGACATCACCATACCGCATGACGAGAACCTCGTGAAAGCCGAAACTGAGAAAAAGAGAAAGTATCTCGACCTGGCTCACGAGGTGACCGAAATGTGGGGGGTGATGTCCACCGAAATCATTCCAATCGTTATGTCGGTGAACGGTCTTATCCCAACCAGTCTGGAACAACATCTCAGACGGTTGGGATTCCGGGGCGGTTCACTCCCGGGAAAGATGCAGAAAGCGGTGCTGTTAGATTCTGCCCGCATTGTACGCCGGTTTCTGTCCCTGGGGCCCTGAACCCCGGCCGACTGTGCTTCTGCCGGGGGTATGTTGCCATCTCCACTCCTTAAGAGGGGAGATGAGAATTTTGGAAAAAAAAAATAATAATAATAATTTATTTGCTCAAAAAACACAGTATAAAAGATGATAATTAAAGCTTAGTATAATGTGCTTTGCCATAGTAGTGGTGATCAAACGGAGCTCTAGTCGCCTTTATAAGGAAGTTATCAACATAGCACTTACCTGGTACAATATACACCATCGCTGTTGCCATCTATTGCCATCAGAACTTTTCTTCATCAGGTAACCAGCCTGCAACAAAGATTATTATATTTTTTAAGGTTTTTATTTTTAGTTTAATAATGTTAGTTTGTTATCTTTTAAGTTAAATGTATATAATTCTTATTTGTTAATTCACTGATTAATTGTATATTATATAGATGTGATATTTATTAATACCGTCGTAAACAGCTTTCTTTGCAATCCTGTATGCTGGTTTGAAAATTGAAATCTCGTAGTAAAATTACTAAGGATGCATAACAACTTGGTCATCAGGAACGGCAAGCAAAGAAGTACATCACAGGTCTCAAATGATGATATGATATCTGAGAAGCTGTTCATTTATACTCGTATTTGCAAAAGCGTCACCACTTTCCACCAGTATGATGCGTCAGTTTATTTACTATTCAATTTACATAAAAAAACATTTTTTTTTCTTCAATGATTAGTCTTCAAATCAAATCAAAAATAATTTATTCATGTAGAACTTTGTTGCCGTCAAGTTTTATGTACAACACTTTTTTACAGTTCAGTATACAGATTCAATTGAGAAGAACTGGCAAAAAAACTGCATGTCTATCGAGAAAAGACAAATTACCGCGCTGCCTGCTAATATTACTGAATGTAACTGTCTGTAATGCAAATAAATTAATTTTAATTAATACTAATATTAAATTATAGTAATAAAATCATGTTAATTACTTATTTTTTATACTCGACTTATTTTTTTAAAGCAAATTAGATTACTTCACATAGATTAATAATACCAGATAATACAAGATAGGTGCATGATACCAGCATTACAGTTTTATAAACTCCGTCATCCCGTTCATATATATACATGGGGGTTATACACACATATGAAAGTGTGTTTCTATGTCTGCATGTCTATTTGTTAATTTTTTTTATAACAGGAAAAATGAGCTTGCGGCTCATCTGAATGGTAAGTGATTACCGCCGCTAAGAGCACTCGCAACACTAGGAGAATTGTGTACGAGCGTTGCCAATCTTTTAAGAAGGAATAAACTCTTTTGTAACTAACGCTTGAACGGATCTTAATAATATTTTATATTTTTGTGTCTCAAAAAAAAAGCAGACGAAATCGTGGGTTGTAGTTAGTCTTCCATAAAAGCATGAGCTTGTTTGCCATTTCAAAACATGGTAGGTACATTAAACGCAAATAATTTTTCTAGGTTGCGTCGTATCTAAAGACTGGAGGGACATTATCATGATTTGGGATCATGCCATTATAAATAAATGTGTGCTCAGGCAGGCTAAAGGCAGGGGTCACTTACAAATGATGTGATACCATTAAAGTGTCAACCTTTCTCAGTCGCCTGTACCTTGGCAACTAACTTTTGGCATTGGCTATATTATAGGCCTCTTTTATTTTAGTAACGTTGAAATTACTGAACTAAATAACAGGTACAGTCGGTGCAAATATCTTATTTCTAAACTAATATTAAGAATATGTTGTTTTTGGTTGTAATTGAAAATAGTTTGAGTAGAAAATTATTATAATTTTTTTTGGATTAAATTTATCATTGTAATGGCAATCATAGACAATTTAAAAAAACTTTGTCATCGTTTTTCGTTTGTAACCGTTGAACACTAAAATTACTCCTTTTGTAAAATCAGCAAAATATATACAGTACATTATATTTAAAAGTTTAAAAATTCCTTCATCTACAGAAAGCAATTTCTTTTATAACGACCCGACTCGGCTTCATATGGCATTACAATCTTTTAATTTCTCGGCTTTTTCTATACCATAACAAGCATGTATTATACATAAACTTTCCTCTTGAATCACACAATCTATTGCTGAATACTGCAATAAAATCGGTTGGGTATTTTTAAAGATATAAACGAACGGACAGCGACGGTGACTTTATTAAATATGGATAAATGAGTTTGCGGCATACCCGATGATAAGTGATTACTCCCAACACGAAAAGAATTGCATATGAATTGCTTGTATTATAAAGAGGTATATGAACTATTATTAAAAACTTCAATATCGTATCGATTCGGTAAATATTGCTGTTAGATGTACCTATCTGCAATGGTTGCGCTATATAATTAACAAAATTTAAAATAAAGATGATTTATTAGAAAGTTCAAATAAAATCAATTGTTATATTGGGACCATATTTGTTATGATATAGAAATATGTTCTTTCATTAATAATTTAAGAGCGACACTTTTGTCATTGGAGCACCTGCAACTTTTCATGATCTTCCATCATACTCCTTAAAGGTTGATACGTCACGACTTCAATTCTGTCTTTAATTTGCTTGATGTAGCTGTGCCTTGGTCTTCCTCACCCCCTCTTTCCCTGAATAACTTTCATAAGATCATCATGCCGTAACAAGTGTCCTAACATTTATTCTTCTCTATTTTCTATAGTATTCAACGTCTGCCTTTTTTTTCACTCTTTATAATACTTCTTCATTTCTTACTTTATCTTTCCAACTAAAGAACTATATATTATATGCTTAATTGGATATATAACAAGAATGACAATCGAATGTACCTGGTCACAAAAAGCAAACGTTTATTGTATTCGTAATAATATGTGAATATTTTTTTGCTATGCGATTGTTAACATCTGGGACCTTTCAATAAAGGCTGGGTATTCCAAACTACCTGATTATAGATACCTTCTATAAGAAATTTATTGTGTTGAGGAGTATGTTTTATTGAAATTACTTTGTACGGACTGACAGCCTTAGTTTCTTCTCTATGGGATTGAGGTTTTTTTTATACAACCACGGTGGCAAAAAACCCACGGCCCATCTAATGGTAAACAATTACCGAAACCTATGGACGCCTGAAACATCAGGTGTGTCACGTGCGCGTTGCTGACCCTTAAGAAACATTAATATACCCCTCTAATCATGCTGTAGTCTCTAGAGAAAACCTCGTCAGGTAGTTCATCCCACAATCTAAGTGCACACGGGAGTAAGCTCTTCTGAAACTACACTGTCCGAGACCTCTTGGTTTCCAGCATATGGGGATGAATTACTTGTCGATGGCGAGCGGTGCGATGGTAGAAGGTAGCCATAGGCACATAAAAAGATTACGGGAGCATGGTGATTTAATTGTAGTATACCTATAGCATTTAGCCAGTCCACATTTCTGCATTAATGGACAAAGAAAGGTAAATGATAAGATTTTTGATATGAGGAAAGAAAACTTAGGAGTCACCCAACTGGTTCGATAAATTCTTTCATGTTTGAAAGGTACACTATTCCAGAGTAACTTATTTTCAAACCATTCTTGTGCTGTTGACCGTAGATGGCCTTTATAGCTTCAAAGAACGATAATTGATGAGCAGATAGCACTCCAAACTCGCGGAAGGACTGATGGAGCTGAAGGCCAATTCCTGCCTGACGGATACGATTTCAGTCTGAGGGCATCGCTAGGTGTTCAAAACTCGACTCAACCGGTCGATCCCCGTTTAAATTGGACGGTATAGATCCGACTATCAGGAGGAGGGAAGTTAGTCGCCTGAGTGATCGCCTAACTCATAACTTTATGAGTGTTAATGTATATAAAACTCATAAAGTTATGTATACTCAGGCGTACTCGGGGTGGGATAGTACTAATATCTAAATAGTTTGTTTGAGCGCAATAATATCTGGGACTACTCGTCGGATTAAGAAAAACTTTTAAATTTTTGAAGAAGGTTATATGTGATATGGTGTATGCTATTAAACATCACGCTACGACACTTAGGAGCTGGACAAAAAAAAAATCAGTACGCTAAGTAAAAATAAAATATGTCGCAATGCGGCGGGGTCTACGAGGGCGGCGGTCATTTCATTAAAAATAAATGAGGGATGAAACTGCAGTGCTCAACTAGTAATATATGAATGGGGAATCTATTTGGGAGCTACTGTTAGAGTCGTAGCTTACCCTTACTCGGACTCTGGCGCCAAGATTATCCGGTAGACTAGAGAAGACCGCCCTCTGTGAAAGAACTTTTTTTATTGAGGCAATTTTTTTATATAACTGGAACTGTGAAGCTCAATCCACATGCTAGAAACCAATCTCCCCCACAAACTACCTACTACATCACAAATCCGATCTTTCTATATTAGCAACTAGTCTTGACAACGAACGAATGTTTTACAAATCTTTGAATTTCTCGACTTATTCTATGTTAAACACGCATGTATTATACAAATAAACCTTCCTCTTGAATCATTTTATCTATGGCTGAAAACTGCAATAAAATCCGTTCCGTGATTTAAAAGATTTAAACAAATAGACATGGGCGGCGTTTTCGCTTTATACTGTTTAAAGATGACTGTTTACAGTTACTGCAAATTTACATTTGTACAACTAATGTACAAATGTAAATTAGTAAACCATTTCAAATCAACTTGCAAGTTTCTTACTAGTTCTTCTGGTACTGAATCTGAATTCCAGATTCAAATTCTCCAAATGAGTTGTAGTTTAAAAAAATGTGACTATCAATCGTGCTTAAGTGAAGCTTATTTTTTTTAAACTTTATTTAAATGATATAAATTAAATTTTTTTTTTATTCTTTTCTGTTTACTTCTTATTATGCTCAACTACAAGCTAAACATTATAATTATTGTTTGATTCAGGATAAATTAGGAATACACGATTCTAATAAGTTCAACTGGTCTTAATATTATATCTCTAACACCATCAACCAGAGCTATTTAAATACTGTCAAAGTAGGCAAAGCTTATATTGTGGGTACTTTTATCAATGGGTGATTATGGAATGTTGCACCCACCTACGTTAACGGTATACGCTGTTGGGGCACCAGTGGAGGATGATAGGATGAGCATGAGACCAGTGCAGTTAACTCTTCATGTCGAATGCAGTGGGTACTAGATAACTCATAGTCATGCCTAATAATACTGAATGTGTGCGCAACATATTGTGGTACAATAAGGATATGAGGATGATTCAATTGATATTTAATTTTTTTTTTAAGACTACAGTGTTGCAAGCATGTCTTACAATATCGAATATTATGTGCAATGTATTCAGCCTGCATACAGTCTGGTGCTCATAATACACTATTACGATTAATAATTGAATAAAATGTCCAAATATTTCAAACAATTAAATTAAATTGTTTAAATATTAAATTGTATGTTAGTTAGTTGTAGGAGTATATTTTTATACTTTATTATTATTATGTACTAGCTCTTACCCGCAGCTTCACTCGCATTGAATAAAAAATATTTCGTTTAATTTTTAAAAATTAATTTTCCTGTATTCATTCTGATACCTCCAAGAACATGTGTACAAAATTTCATGATGATCGGTTCAGTAGTTTTTGCGTGAAAGCGTAACAAGCATCCCTACTTGAACATAAATAATATTGTTAAGGATTAAAGATATTAAGTTATTCATGTATGCCTGCATGCATTGAGCAAATAAGCAAATACAAAACTACACGTAGATCCCACAAGCAATCAGAGTTTGTTCTGATTACGTTTGTTGCAAACTAAAGATAACAAAACAGATTTCCAATACCAAAGTTTGACTATACTGGTGCCAGGGGAGGCCTAGACTATTTCTGATGGATTTGTCGAGTTTCCGGAACTTTTCGTGTATATATCCCAGGAATGAAAAGAGTTCAAATATATACATATATATATATAAATCATATATAATATACATATATTATATACATATAATATACATATATATATAAAATATATATAAATCCTACTTCCCAAGGTCACATGTGAAATACTGCACCATATTCGCAAATTCTTTTTTTGTAATGCAAATATATCATATATATATATATATATATATATATATAAGGATCAAATATATATATATTCTTATAAAAGAAAAATTAAAGATTTTTAAATTAATTATACCAATGTATATTCAATATTCTTAAAATAGTTAAGACAGGACAACGGCAGTAGGGTCACCTAGTTAATAAAAACAATAAGTTCTAAACTTAAAAATCGATTATTAAAAATTCACGCATAAAATATAATAATAATAATCTGTTTATATTATTATCATTTATTTTAATTTATCCAATATTATTTTGGTATCAGCGTAATACGTTTTTCTCTTCCATCTCTGTTTGCAGTCATCTCGATATTCACTTCCTTTCTTATTTCTTATACATCTTCTTTCTTTATTTATATACACACATCTGCTACTTTATAAAAGGTATGAAAGAAAATAATCTAATCTGTTATAGTTACCTGGGCGTGGTCATACTGGGCCCTGTCTGAGAGAGCTATCAGCTGCCCCTCATTTATCCTGATAGCACGCTGGATCTTCGGACTCAGCATCATGAAGCTTCTGAAACAAACGACAACATTATTCATAACGAGATCAACTGTACAAATCTATGTTAGATTAGATATAGACGGCCTCAGTGATCTATCGATTTAGCACACCGCTTTACTTCCGATGGTCGCGGGTTCGATTCCTCGAGTAATTTTCTATACTCTAGAAGAACTTCTGTCTTTTCTCCTATACCTATAAGACCATTTTTTGTACATTCATTTCTATAAATAGAGTTCATTTCAGGTGTAATAAATAAAAAATAAAAACAAACTGACAAGAAATTCAACATTTAATCATTTTTTATTCAGATTTATAACAAATATTAAAGAAACTGTATATGGCTTACATATTTAATATGTACAAAATCCCGAAAATTGAAGATATCATATAAATAAATGTATGTATTATATATAAAAAACCCAAGATGTAGATCTAGTGTTCTGAATGTTAGACAATTAATACAAATACTTAAATACATTTTTTTTTTCTAAATAAATACATAACATACATTGAAAATACCCAGGCAATCATACTAGTAAATAAAAAATAAATTTAAATGTTTATATCGTTCTAAGAATCGACCCGCAACTATCGGAAGTAAGGCTGTGACCTAACCGTTAGACCATCAAGGCCGTGTAAATAAACAATGGAATTTATTTATACATATATTTCATGTATTCACATCAGATATTCTATAATCGATATGTAAATACCAAGTATGTTAGGATAGGGGATTGTTACTGATGTGGATTAATCCATAACTCTATTGCGAGTTATACCAGATCAGGTTGACCTCGCAGTTCCCCTTGGAAGCTACCAAGTTAAATTCTTGGTAAATACCACGATGGGCTAACTGACCTGACATCATACTCATCTTATCATCCTCCACTCGTGCCCTGCTAGCGTAAGCACAGGCGAGTGCAGAGTTCAGAATTCGATTATCATATACATATTATAAAAAAATACCAAATATTCCTAGTCCGTCACCACATTAGCGAAATAGGTACCTAAGTGCTACGTACTTCTTTGAAGTAGATTCTTTGGAATAAAAAAATATTTGTTTACCTAGTTATCTACTATATATGTATATGTACTTTATAAATCAGTTAATAACTAATATTAATAAATCATTAACGACATTGATAAATAATTTTTATTTCAATATCTAACGTCTCTTTTAGAAATTCGCAGTAATTGTATCCTTTCTCATTTAAATAATTCAGTAAAGATTTTTGAGTTCGTGTAGTTAACAAGTTTGGTTAATCTTCTATTACGGTTAAAACTTGATTTAAAATTCATAAGAAGGCTTACTATAAGCACTAAACTTTAAACGCAGATTTTTTTGTTAAATAGTAATATTGATGAATAGGGAGTTCTTATAGAGAAATAATAAAAAATATATTTTTATAAATTACTTACATTTTACTTCATGTTTCAATTATAAGGTTCCTTTAACTCCACTTTGTTTCTTCCGATTTTTCTTAATTTTAGAAGATCGTCTTTCGATAAAAAGTATAATAACATTTTAGAGAATTCGAATATAAAAATTGATTTTCCAAAAAGATTTATGAATAAACAGACAACACGTTTAGATTAACAACAGCATAGAAACAAGATAACGTTTTAAATTCAACTCTAATGATTATTTACTATAATCGTCATCATAAGCATGTAAAGCACGAACTATTTGAACGCCTGTTACATTTATAAGCGTAACTGGTAACTAGATTTATATTTTGCTCGTATTTTTCGTTAAGGCGCAGTATGAAAGTAGGAGCTCTCCTAAAATTGTTTATCGATATTTTTTGCCATTAGTCAGTCATAATTTTCACCGTTTGGATTTTTTACTATTGCAAATATGTGGAGAGTGTTTGTTTATCAAGGGCGGCTATTCGACTGCCGGGCCAGCACCTGTAGCTGGATCGACCGTTGCGCGCGTGCGTGGCCTTGATGACGTACAAAGTTAGCCATAGATCTACAAAGCATCTGCATACGTATTAATAATAAAACATATTCGATTTTTGTAGTGATACACATTTGTGTACATAATATAACCAGCTGAGCCCGCGGTTTCACCCGCGTGAAATTTTTAGCCTATATGTTATTTTGCATAAGCTATCTTACTTACAAGTTTCATTAAAATCCGTTCAGTATTTTTTGCGCGCAAATATTTGTTAGTATAGATGGATAGATCTATCCACTTACCATCCATCACCACTTACAACCATCCATACTCACAAATATTTGCATTATAATATTAGTAAAATAAACAATAACGATTGTTTCCAAGGACGGTTTACGATTTAACCTTGTTTGTGCTGTCGTTAGCATAGATCGTTATAGTAATGGATATATAAGTTAGAAAAATATTTTTAATGCAGTTTTACCACATATTTATAGCAACAAAAGACCCACTGCATTTGCTCAACCGAGAATCAAATCTCTCAGTTCACGAATTATTCAAGAAGCCTACTATTTGTTACGAATTTTGATACCTGATATTTCATGTGTTAAATTTCATTGAATTAATTGTCGGATTATAGAAAAATGATAAATACTGCAATTCTCATAAGTTTACGTTCATGTACCTAAATTAGTAAAAATATTGCTTAAATTTTTTTGTTATAATTATTTATTATAGAAATGTTTCGATTAAATTTAAAAAAATATTATATTATTAGAGGTACTTAGTATATTAATTATTAAAAGTCTGCTGTCGACGTTGTTAGGTCTGTTATTCCCACCGTGCTCAGTGAGACGCAGTTTCCGCAGCCCGTAAAAGTCCGATACTTGGTACATCTTTGTTTATGCCAGCCGTAAACTTTCTCCTACCTATATATTTCAATAAACGACACATCCTGTTTAACAACATACATATATGACGCGACATAAATAAAAATAAAATAAAATTTTGTACCAAAAAATAGACACATCAATAAAAAAAATTAATGCTGCACTCTTTAGGCTGTATATGATAATTCTGTTGCTATTTAGTTATAAAATATTTTTTATTCTTGAATTAAATATCGTGGAAAATACACGGAAATTTGACTGTTAATGTATTTTTATTCCCATCAACCTCGGACTTATTCAAACACGAAAAAGGTTAAATACTATACCATAAAAATTGATTCATAATAATAGGGAAATTACATTTTTTAATAATAATAATTTTTTACTTCTTTTTTAAAAAGAAGGAAGGACTAAGAAATCAAGATATTTTCTTTATTACTGTCTTTGGAGATTCATTTTCTCACTCAAATTAAAATTAATACTATTAGATTTTTACTCGCTACCACGAAGTTCTTCATTCGCTTTATCGTTCTACCGCGTGCCTGGTGATGATGATCTGAAAACCCGTGCGTAGGCCATTCGTCTGGTGGACACTCTGCCCCTCCCTTACTGTCACAGCAGATTTAACTCCTCGCCCACCTAACGTAAGAGGCAGGTCCTACTGTATTTCTTCACTTCGCTATTAGAGTCTCTTAAAGAAAAGACACGAAGCAAGAGCTGTGAATGGTATCATACCAAAACGTGCACCTGAGCGTGCACGTTTTGGGGAACCCCAACTTTAACCCGACGTTCTCTGTCTACCGGTGTGCAGTGAATATTCCTAATTTTGTACGTTTTTTTTATTCTACTATTATAGAGCTTAGTAATCATAAGTATTTCGTAGTGACCCAATACGCCTATATAAATTGACTTTTTGGTGACAGATTTAGGCATCCTTTAAACAAAAATTAATACGAAATTATAGACTACAATTGAATACCAAATTAAATATGAACGAGCACACACACCGCACCCTCCTAGGGGGCAAAGGTTGGTGCCTCAGACGAACCCCTTTGCCCCGGCATCAACTCCGGGGTCAACAAACCCGGGTTTGATGGGAATAAATATATAAAGAAATACTAAACTTATGCTAACTTAATAATTAGTGCCATGCTGGGCGACATTTTTTTTTATACGAAGCATTTCATACAAACTTAAAGACAAATATGACAATGAAAGCAATAAAGGTTCAATAATAGGAACATCGTCATAAATGTCATTGTCAATTATTTGTCAATGTCAACATGTCAAATCATTTGTTGCACTGTAATATTGGAATTAGGATATGTCAAACAAAATTTTACTCGAATCTCGAAATATTCTCATGTTATTAAACAATATTTCATCTTCTCCATTACGAAATTAACGTAAATTTTCATTTGTAAAATTCGTGTACCACAAAATATAGTATAAATAACTTTTTAATATATTTTCTATTTGTTTATCCCACCGAAAACGCCGGTGTTTTGCGTAATATGTTTAAGTGCTAAACATTCGTAGGAATGGCATCTGGGTCAAAAAATGATATAGTTAATAGACTATTGAATGTGAGACTCGAAGAGGGTGCTGGGGGTGAAGATGCGCCGCCTCAGAACATGTTGCCTTCTAACCAGCACGCGAGGCAAATAGTTCTCGTGCAGGAGGAAGAGAACGGACAGGCGGTGGAGCATATCGCTTCCTCGTCAGCTATAGAGAACCTGCAGCCCACGAACAACAGTGGCGGACGCCTACACAACTGGCAAGCGACTAAGACTACCGTCAAAGAACGCTTGTCGTTCCTATTCAACAATGAGATACTTTGCGATGTCCATTTCATTGTGGGCAAAGATGCGAACCAGCAAGTTATTCCCGCGCATAAATTTGTGTTATCTGTGGGTAGTGCTGTGTTCGATGCGATGTTCAACGGTGTTTTAGCTACGAAATCTGATGAGGTTGAATTACCAGATGTGGAACCTGCAGCTTTTCTTCATTTGTTAAAGTTTCTGTACTCCGATGAAGTCAGGATCGGCCCGGAGAGTGTTATGACGACACTCTATACAGCAAAGAAGTATGCAGTGGCAGCTCTGGAGGAGCATTGTGTGGACTTCCTTAAAAGTAATTTAGGTACAGATAATGCATTCTTACTGTTGACACAGGCACGTCTGTTTGATGAGCCACAGCTGGCTGCTCTGTGCTTGGAGATGATTGATAAGAATACAGCTGATGCTTTGAATGCTGAGGGATTCACTGATATAGATCAGGACACTTTAAATGCAGTTCTTGAGAGGTTAGTAAATTTATACTATTATTGCAATAACTACTAATTACTTATATTAATCCACCCACCAACTTGTTTCCTTTGTAAGCTGTTTCGGTATTTATACTTCACTTTACTTCTGTGAAAAATGAAATTATAAGGAACAAAGTAATTTTGATCCTCTAGAATTGCAACTTACGAGAGGTACCATGGAAAGACAGTACATAGAAATAATATTTATTTAAATAAACTTAACATAAGCACTTTGGAATAGTCATATTTTATTTATTCTATCACAAGAATGAGTATGGAACTTACATGTTGCTACTTTAAAATAAATATTGTTTAATATTGTATTTTTTTTTTGGATACAAACTGACAAATAACAATGTTGACATAAATTAATTGTAAATTGTTGGATGATGTTGATACTTATGGATACAAATGTTTGTATCATCTAAGGAATCAAACCCGGAACCTTCATAAGTACAGAAGGCATGTTTTCTTATAACATCCTTAACTTTATTCCGAACTGATGGTAGATTTGACATATCATAAGAGTCTGTAATAGACTTACATGAATAAAGATATTTTGAATTTGAATTTATTGTATTATATTGGGTTGTTTGGAAAGTAGTACCTGTCTTTTGGGAAAATTAAAGACAAATTTCATATAATGAAAAACCCAGGTCTTTCAAGTGGTTATAAACAGTTGAATTTAATAAATTTGACCTATCACTGATCTCACATATAATACACCAATTTGCAATATCTAATTCCTTCATCAGCTTCATCAGGCCATTTGACATCAAAATTGCAGATCATAATTTTAAAACTTTGCAATTGTTCTGGTACTGGCTCACTGTCAACACATTATCTTTATACACATGTAGTAATTTTTTTCTGTATTGAACAATTTTACCTTTTCTATAGTGAAAAAATAGAGTATTATTATGAGGAAAATGGTGCTTATTGATCTCCGTATTTAAAAGGGCTCCAACCAAATATAGGCAGAATTAATTGAACTTTTTTACACACAAGCCCTGCTATATCAGCTCTCAAAATATAATATTGCAGCTTCAATGTGAAGTTAGGTTCAAAAATAACAATTAAATCCTCTGTTTGAAAAAATGAAATTACTTTCGGAAGAATCTATTTTTTTTTATTTCAAAGGAGTTTGTCTGGATATAATACTTTTACATGTGTTTTGGACCTTACCCTGAACTAACTAGAGTTATTCTAATATATTTATTGTTTCAGAGACACACTTAGAATTCGTGAAGCCAAAATATTCTCAGCTGTTTTACGATGGTCGGAAGCAGAATGCATTCGGCGTCAACTCCCTGTCACTCCTGCAAAACAGCGAATGGTTTTAGGCCGTGCTTTCAACGCTATAAGGTTCCCGTTGATGTCTGTAGAAGAATTTGCAATGGGACCGGCACAGAGTGGGTTATTGGACGATAGAGAAATTGTCCAACTGTTCCTGTACTTTACGGTGAATCCGAAACCAAATGTAGGTTTTTTAGATACGCCACGGTGCTGCATGACGGGTAAAGAGCTAACTGTGAACAGATTCCCTCAGACGGAGTCCCGATGGGGCTACAGTGGTACCACAGATAGAATTAGATTCACAGTGGATCAGAGAATATTTGTAGTCGGTTTTGGATTGTATGGATCATATTTTGGGCCTACTGAATATGAAGTGCATTTACAAGTAAGTTACTTATACTTTTAAGTAATGTTTTTGTATACTATGTACAAACTCTATTATTCACTAAAAGATTACTTGAATGACGAGCGTTCATGGCAATAATTGTTCATGCACGGGATTTTCATTTGTGTAAGACATAGACACCTATATAAATACATATGCATTGTAAATAAACTGGCTTTTAAAAAAAAAAGTAATTCAATTGAGTTTCTTGCCAGTTCTTCTAAATTGGATCTATATACCGAACTGAATGGTAGGAAAAAAAAATTATAATGTAAAAACTTGACGTTCATAAGCGGCTAAAATATCCTACACGAATAAATGATTTGATTTGAATTTGAAACCTTAGGTTATGCAGTGATTTTTGTAATGTTGTTAATTTTACTGCAAAGACTCATATGATTGATGCATTGTTATCATTGGTACTATATGGTACTTCATATTTATGTAATTTTAATAACAATAATAACCCACGACAATTCACCCAACGCACGATACTTTTCATGTTAAAAAACAATTTTATTTAATGGACGTAATGCGAGCGAAGGTGTGGGTAAAAGGTAGTGTATTGTAATTTATTCTAATTGATTTAACATATAATTTTCCAGATAATCCACCTAGGTACAAAGAAGGTATGCGGTTCGAATACAACGACTTTTTGTTGCGACGGCACTGACGACACCTTCAGAGCTATGTTCAAGGAGCCTGTCGAAATACTACCAAACACATCTTATATAGCCAGCGCCAAACTTAAGGTGACTATTTTTTTTATTCAATTATTTTCTACTAAGGGGCTGTTAATAAAATAGATTTATCAAATTATTATTTACCCCCATGATATATTAAAATAGTAAAGTTATTGGGGGGAACCCACGTTGCTAACGTAAACATTTCTCAATTAATGTATTGTTTTTTTAGCAAAAGACAATGTGAGGGTTGCCATTCGTGTAAAAAAATAATTACGACCGATGACGTAATCATCACACAGACTCCCCCACCCCCATGTCATCCAAAATAAGCAAAGAAAAGCTTGTGCCCCCCTATAGATGCTTACGTAATACTTGAACAAATACCTAATTTTTTCGGAATATTAATAAAATATGTTTACTAATCAAATTATAGTTTTACAATGATATATTATAATTGGAAGTTGTTTACTTAACAACCACGCTTAGCAACGTTAGTTCTAACTTTCTTGTATGGTGCTTACTTATTACTTAGAAGGGGATCGTTAATAATGATAATAATCTCAGGACAATTCACACAGTGCCATCTAGACCCAAGTTAAGCTGGCTAAAGCTTGTGTTATGATACTGGACTGGATATTTGTTAGATATGATAATTGATACATAGATTTTTTCGTAAATACATATTATACATAGAAAACACCCAGACCAATACAAACAATCATACTCATGAATACAAATCGTCGATTAAATAGAAAAATTGCAGTATTCAAAATGTGCATTTTTTACAAGACAAGCATTGAAAGTTTATTTAAATTATTGTCTCCTTAAATAATTTAAATTATTGTATCCGTAAGTAAATTTACACAAAAGTATTAAATATAATTTTAAAAGTATTTAGATAATGATAAAGACGGCGTGATTAATTTAATTGACTTATATAAAAGAAGACAATTGTAGCTTTTAGTTTTGAAAAATGTCGTTTTTCTATTTAATCGATGAAATGTTTGTCCGGTAATAGCTTTAGGTAGCTTAATGGCGCTGTGTGAAATGTCCTGAGATTATTATTATTATTGTCTCCATTGGGCCCATAATATTAAATTGCTTCATTGATTATCATTTACAGGGCACAGATTCGTACTACGGCACCAAAGGATTGCGATGTGTCACAGTTGACTGTAACAACGGCGAAAAGGTTGTATTCCAATTCTCTTACGCCGCCGGTAATAACAATGGAACATCTGTGGAAGACGGTCAGATTCCCGCCATTATATTCTATATTTAAAAGTAATAAAAAAATATAGAAAATTTTGGCGGGATTTTATGGTTGTGGAATGTATGCTGAATTGGAAACTTCAGGTTGGGAAATTTAGTCAGTGTGTTTTAGTTAAAAGTCAGGAAAATTCTTAGGTTATTTACTGTTTGATATCATTATTGGAAATTCACTATTCTGTATATATACACTAAGGTGTCTTTTCGTTGTCATATTTTGATAGAATCTCGTATATATTTTTTTTAATTATAAAATATCCAAAGAAAATTATAAACACAATAATAATAATGTATGGTATGTTCTTGGCGCCCTCGGTGGTCTAGCGGTTTAACATACCACCTTACTTCCGATGGTCGCGGGTTCGATTCCTCGCACGGCACAAACATTTGTATTCATGAGTATGATTGTTTGTGTCGGTCTGGGTGTTCTATATGTATAATATGTATGTATATACGAAAAAATATATGTATCTATGTATTTGTATCAGTTATCTAGTACCCATAGCTCAAGCTTTAGCCAGCTTAACTTGGTTCTAGATGGCGCTGTGTGAATTGTCCTGAGATTATTATTAGGTCTGTAATTTTACATAAATTGCATGTAGATCTCATCACAAAAATGATTCATTAGCGGAACCACAACGCTAAATTACAGTTACCTACCGATTTAATTAATAAAAACTATTAAAATTATTAAAACTAATTCTATTTGACTAAATATTTCTGTGAATACAGGTATATCTCCATTTTTATTTACAATAATTGAATGTAGATATAAAGACCCTGTCGGACTAATGTTCCTGAAGTAATATTAAGTGTAAAACATATCATACGATTATATAAGATGTCACAACACCTACATGTTACAGGAATCTTGTTCATTTTGTTATTTTAATATTCATATTGTTAACCGGGTCTTAAAACAACGAATGGTAAACTAGCTGACCCCGCAAACTTTGTGTTGCCATATAAATTAAAATTGCTATTAAAAACTAGGTGTTGGTGATACAAGGGTGAATTTAGGATTACATGTATTTTTAATACCACATTATAAAAAAAGTTGTCCAAAAATAAATTGTTAGGAGTGGACAATGATCTATTTTTCATACCTCTAAGTGATAAGGCACTTAGGAGTATGAAAAATAGATAGTAGCCGATTCTCAGATCTACTGAATATGCAAATAAAATTTAATAAAAATCGATCAAGCCATTTCAGACGAGTATGGTAACTAACATTGTGACACTAGAATTTTATATATGAAACAAAGGTATTATTTACCTCTCTCGACGTTTCGACTAGTTTGCACTAACTGTGGTCTAGCTGACTGGAGTAACAGCCATGTCAATATCGGTAGGTGCCAAGAGTTTTTTTCTAAATCCGGTTAACAATATAAATAACGTGTATTAAACATGAAAGTTAAAAAAACTATTGTTATTTTATTATTTACAATTAAAGATTGTTATTATTTAAACTTTATTTTCGTATTAATCTAAGATCTGGTTTAAATATTGCCCAGAAACAGCGCCAACAGCCATATTTTTAAACTCAGGGCAACGATATTGCGTATCTTTCATTACTTGTATACATAAGTAAATACTAAAAGTACTGGCAACACTTTCTCTATTCATTGACATTCACATATGTCATTCAGTAAGTTCCAAATTTAAGTGTGTTCGCTGTGGATATATCGCAAAATTTGTAGATACGTCATAATTATTTTTTACCCATTCAATATCAGAGCAATAAAATATTATAATACAAATAAATACACAATTATTGCAAGAATTTTACTTTATAATTACTTGATTGATCGTTGAAAAAGAACTTTTGGTAACCGTTCACGAACGTTCAACAATTCCTAATTAAAACTACAAAATCGGATAAAGTATATCTATGACAATTCAATCTATTGTTTGTCGATTTTTTGTGAACTTCGATTCGAATCGATTCAAAAATCGAATTTTATCGATAGAATCGCCATCTCAAGTGACGAAATGTCGACTTTGCGGAATAGCTGTGGGAACGTTCTATCCATATTAAGTCACGCTGTATTGTATATTTTCATTAATACTAATAATTTATTTATTTATTTAAATTCAATACACAAAAATAAAGTGTATAATATAGCGGACTTAACACCTTTCGGCAATATCTACCAGGCAACCATGAGTGGTGCAGAGATTGTTGCATAATAATAATATAAATATTTTTACTAAACTAATTACCTCTAATAAAATATATGTCGTATTTATTCACTGTCTATATACTTCTTTATTATGTACTTAATTTCTTTATAACTCTCGAAAAATCTAAAGAACAATATAACTTTTCATAGAAAAAATAAATATACAAAACAATCGTTATTTAGGAGCAGACATTAGATAAGATAAATTAACTTCAATATTATACTTCAAATTTGGTTTTAGCATCTATCATTATAATTTATATAGAAAATTTATTGAAATGAAAACCAATTACATATTTTTTTATGATATATTATATTTTATTGATTTAAAATTTTTAGATATACCTAATACTAATATGAAGCTTTAGAAAATTGTGTGTAATAGTATTTAATATTTCTGCTATAAAAACAAGGGCGTGACATAATTACAAATATAATTAGCAGCTGTGAGAAAAATACTAAATTAGTCGTATTTTAGCTGATAAGGTAGCTCGAATATATTTAATTTATTTGTATTGAAATTTGATTAAATTACAATTTATCTAATATGTGTATAACTATGTGCCGCAATTTAACGAACTGACTACTTTCCATCTTTCTTCCTTTCCTTTCTTTCTTTTCTTTCTTTCTTACACTACAAATGTTTAGACTTCATCTGGAAGTCTTCTTCAGAGTGAGTGTGGTTACATTCCGCAGAGCATTGCCTTTCGCCCTACGGGCTGTAGCTGTTAAGGTACTTATATGGTACATAACACAAATTCTGCTTAATTTGGGGCTAGGTGGCGCTGTGTGAATCGTCCACAGTCATTATTATAGTCAGTTTATTAAATTCCTTCGCATAGTGTAGAATTAAAAATAATTTAAAATCTATGTAGGCTACCAACCTAAGAAGGTTTCATTCACAAAAGCCATCATCATCATCTGCTTCTTCCTTATCCCATTTATTTGGGGTCGGCGCAATATGTTTTTCTCTTCCATTCATCCCTGTTGTGAATGTAAGGTGGTTGGTAGACCACATGTATCCATTGTATATCTCATTATAACAATACAAAATCAAACCTACTGTGCTATCTATATTAGGTAAACTATAGGTAGTGTTCTAGTTTTATACGTAGGTATATAATGTATTAATTATTCGAGCATATGAGGGATGGAATCATTAAAGAATCTGCCCGGTTAAGCATCTAAAATCTGTAGCTACGTCTATTGAAGGAACTTTACCATTTATTTAAGACAACCACACGATTTCGTATCCTTAACACCTTTTTTTATTGGGGAAAATCCTCATGGAAACCCAACCCACTCCAAGGGAGGTAATTTTTTTTTATTGAGGAGTTTGGGCTATAGTGAGGTACTTAGACGTGTAGCACTGCGACCTACATAGATCTATTGTGCTCGCCCTTTTCAGAGTTCGCTACCTATTCAGTGCGGAAACATGACCACTATCACTGGAAGCGCTATGTCCTGCGCCATTAGTGATCAAATTCCGACCGTTATCGGATCTACTCCCAGCGGTGATCAGGTTTCCGCACTCAATATTTGTGGTCTAACAAATGCTAACGGCAGCGGAATTAAACAAATTAATACAATTATATAAAGAACCACAAATATTCAGAGCGGAAATCTGACCACAGTCGAGTGTAGACCCGATAACGGTCGGAATTTGATTACTAATGGGGAAGGCCATAACGCTTCCAGTGGAGGTGGTCAGGTTTCCGCAATATTTCTGGTCTCACACATGCTAATGGAAGCGGAATTAAACAAAATAATACAAATCCATTAAGTAATGAAATGAACTTCCGCAAAATAACACCAATTTTTATAAAATTATATTTGTCTACGGTTCATTTATATCTTTCATTGATCTATACCAATGGTATTTTCCCCTTCAATTTGTAATGTAATGTGTTTAGGCTTTAAATAATCTTAAGATTTTTTTTATTTTTTTGTAATAACATTATGTGTGGTCGCCGAATTACCTTACATCTATAGATTAACTGTGATAGGCGTGTAAGATGTGATCGAGGGAAGGCAAGATGGATTTTATTACCAAATAGTTTTAATGCATATTCGTGTATTAAAATTTTTGTTTTGCTTTTGTATATTTCAAGCTATGTGTCTGAGCTTAATCATAATGTTTAATAGTCTCAAATATAACTATTTTAACTATAGAATAAATAAATACGCATTTAAAAATTTTACAGTGCGTATTTTTGAGTATGGCAATATTTTCATACAATTTCCATACGTTACGGAATTATACTAAAAAGAAAATATTTCTATATTGTTTAGCGCGTATTTACTGTGGTTTAACTTTTTTTTTAGTAGGAAATTGTCTATTTTTACGCGCGGAAAAGCGGAAAGAGAAAGCGCTATTTATAATAGCGCTGTCTCTTATATTCTCTTCCGCATTATGCCGTAGTTATTTTTTCTGCTATTGAGAGACTTAACATAATTTTCATATGTAATTGCTCTATGAATATTTCTATTGAATAGAATTTCTTTTAATTAAGAATCTATATCTACATCGTATCATTTCAGTAAAATAGATTTATTATACGTTTTTTGAATATGGATAGAGTACACAATATAAAAAAAAACTACTTTTTTTTATATTACGTGCGACACGAATCCTTTTCACATTAACATACTGCCAAAATGTTATTTGTATTGTCTATGCTATTAATAGTTACAAATGATAAATTCATAAGGAGAATACTCTCTTTGTGTTAAACGTAACGTAAAAATGGCTGGAGGAATTGCAATGGAATTTTCACAGAATATATTGTTAAATATAGATCAGCATATAAACTAAACTATTCCCAAAGAGAGTCATCATTATTTTTATTTGGAAATTTTCAATACGTCACGAACATCAATTAATTAATTAATACATCAAATAACAGATGGCGTAAAATAGATGTTTTATTTAAGTGGCGTTTAATAGATGGTGATCTACAAATATACACACGTACAAAGCTACGGGCACCATTCGTTTATAATAAATCTTCAGTTTATTTTTAATTAGAATGAAATATTATTTTTCTAGTCAAATTATTAACCTAATCTCTAACTCCATCGTAAAAACTGAAACTCCAACAAACTTATTTTAACTATTTTAGTGTTTTGTCACTTTCTCTCAAACAAGTAAATTATCTCAAATGAAAAGGACAAAGCATTCCCTGCCTTTACATGACACGTTCATTCGCACGCGATTTAGCGCGGGAAACTCAGCGCGCGGAATCGCGATTGCATTGTATTATAGTATTTTTTGTGTTCACTCTTTCGTGCGTGATTGCAAATATCGCTGATTAAATGGCAAAGGGCCACGACGAAATAAATTTTTTTTTTCCAAAAATGGTTTCTTACTCGTTATAATTTTTATATTAAAAAAGACACCCATGATTCTAGAGCTAATACATAGATATACCACTTATAGATTCGTAAAAAAAGTCAAAATATCACAGTGAAAATTTTGATGAGCTTTCCTGTAAAATTTACCGTTTGCGTGATGTGGCCCTTTTTGGCATTTAATCAGCGATATGTTTCATGTCATATCACTTTCTTTTTATTTATTTTTTCCACAGATTTTAATATCCAAAGACACGTTTAATATTTGTAAATTAGTAATAGCTCTATGTTTGTCTTTGCTCCGTAGTCAGATGTCCGCCATTTTGCAATGATAATTAATTATTACAAAAAGGCGCTAAAACATGCACGATTGAAGGACGTGGGGGGAATGCGCGAATTGCCGATGGCGGTCTTTCTCATTCTCTTTGTCTACAATTTTCGTGAAAGTCAATTTGCGCGTGAAAGAGCATACGTGTAAAGGCAGCCACTAACTAAAATTAATATTGTTGTATTAAACCTTTAACTTTTTTATTTATAAAATAGTTATTATTTAACAATCTACATACAAAAGATACGAACATATGAAAATAAAATCAAGAACAAGGAGGTTGGGAATCAAATACTGTCCTATAGGAACATTGCATATGTAAATAAACCTGTTCTAATAGAAAGCATTTATTTACATATGTTTACATAAGTAATAATAATATATTATCGATTCGCATTTTTTTTAACTATTCTAATCCTGTTGGCCGCAGCTGGCCTTTAAAGGTTCACCGGACGATAGGGGGCGAGTGCAGATGGCACTCCAAACCCGCGGTAGGATTATGGAACGGCTGAACTCTAACTTCTCTCTGACGGATACGACTACAGTCTGAGGGTACCGCTAGGGTTCGAATCTAGGCTCACGCCGTCGAACTTTCTATCCGTTTGAATCGGAGGGGAATTGGTTCATAATTCGAGACAATATGGCGTTACATATATGAAGATACATTTTACTCTTATATTTGAGTGTATTTTTACGTAATTTGTAGTTATGGCAAACAAACTTACGGCCCACCTGATGGTAAACGGTAACCGTCGTCTATACGCGTGAATATCACTACGAACATCACGGTCGTGTATTACGCGACGCCCTAGATACCATAAAAAATTTGAGTTCTTTCTTTATATAGTTTATTAATAATGTATAATAACAACTTCCAGTTAAATTTTAAATAAATCTTCAGAATATACTTTATACTAATACTTTATACGGATACTTTTCCTCAAAGATATTTATAGTATGTTTTTTCATCTCAGAGACAACTTTGACATTACCTATGATGCTAGAGCATTGCTAGTCTACCTGCTTATGAAAATTTTGAAAATATAATAATAATAATTTATTTGCTCAAAAACACAGTACAAAAGATGATAATTAAAGCATAATGACTTTAATAAAATTATCCATAAATAGACTATACAGAGAGAAATAATAATAATAATAAAATAGTATCTCTCCAGTCGATAATTATATATTGTCAAAAAAATCCTTTAAATTGTAAAATCACTTATTCTTTAACCATTCTCGTAATGTCTTCTTAAATAATATTGTGTTATTCATCTTCAATGTCTCAGGATGTGATTGTGTAATCTACGTAGAAAGCTTTAAAACTAAACGTCTTAAATATAAAATTATCGATTCAACAAATCGGTATCGCAGGTACACCACTACCCCGCTACAGCTGGTAACATTATTTTAAAATTTGACATTTACACCTGTCATTTAGTCTCAGAGATCATAAAACAGACTATGGTTACTAAATTTAATTTAACCAAATACGTAAGGCCTTGCTACAAAAAATATTTAGGCATTAAACAGGTATATAACTAAACACCTGTCCAAATAATCTCAAAACAAACTAATTTAAGCATTATTTAGTTAGTACCAAAACTATCGGAATATCTATTTTGTATTGGTTATGTATGTGCTGAAGTAAATTAGGTATAGTTCTCTTCGCATAGCACAAGCTCTGCTTAGTATGTGGATAGATGGCGCTGTATGAGTTATTCTGGGTTATTTATTGTTTTCTCATGAAATTAGAATGTATTGGAGGAATTGAAATGTAACTATGCTTAGATCATGTATTTTTAAACGAGTATTTTGTATAGAACGAAGCGATGTTAATATAGATGTCTTTAAATAAATAAACTAAAAAACAATACGATGTTTTATTTTAATACTAGTATTAGGACGGCCCTTAAAAACCATCCTTAGTCTTAACTATATTATAAACGCGATAGTTTGTAAGTACGGATGTTTGTTACTCTTTCACGTAAAAACTACTGAACGGATTTTGACGGAACTTTACAGTAATATAGCTTACTAGCTATATATCTTACGCATCAGAATACACAGCCTATATTTTATATTGAAATATAATGCGGGTAAAACCGCGGGGTACAGCTAGTAAAAACTAAAATTAGCTCTATCCACCCCGATTGAGCTAATTTTAGTTTTTAGGGATATATTTAACTTTTTTAATTATTTTATCTAGGCGAGTCGTGGTGGGAAAACTAAGCTGAATTCATGTTCATTCTATCACCTTCAGCTGGCCTGCTAACAGATACCGATACAGACGGGTATGTATACCTCTCCACATTCATCCATTAAAAGAAAGTATACTTGAGTATATGTTTTTTATTGAATGATAATGAAATGGTGCATCTGCCTGCGCTAACGGTTTACGATGGCGGGACACCAGTAATAGAAATAGATATAATCTTTATTCAAATAAACTTAATATAAGCACTTTTGAATAGTCAAGTTTTTTATTCTACCGCTCATTCGGAATGCAGATTCATCACAAGAAGAATTTGCAAGAAACTTGTGTGTTGCTCTTTTAAATTAATATTGATTAAATTATTTTTACATTAACAAGTATTAGGCATGCGACAATCAACATAGAAACCGCTACGCACTTGGAGGTACTACCAGTGAAGGATAATAAGATAAACACGAAGTCAGGTCAGTCAGACCATCGTGACAAATTCACTAGGAATTTATCACGATGGTTCCCAGAAGGAATCGCATAGGGGGGATATGGGGATATGGGGATTACTATTTCCCGTTACTAGCAATCCCCTTTCCTCTACTTTAGTATATGTTGGATATACTGTAATGTATACAAATAAACAAAATGTAAATGTCTGTAACTTCAAAGTAACAACTTTTCACTAAATGTATATATAAGCACATACATTACTGACATAAAAAAAAAGTTGAATATGTTTTTGCCTGTCTGTCTATTTGTTCTAATCCCTAAAACGGCTGGACTGATCTTGACAAGACTTACACTCGCTGATAGCTAACATCCATAATCAGTAACTTAGACAGGCTAGTATTATTTAAAAATGATTTATTGTCAATAAAAAATTATATTCCGAGGGGATGAAGTCACGGGTAACAGCTAGTCTATAATATTAATATATTTATAGCAAGTAAAAAAAATCTACAGGAAGAATTTGAATGATTTAGTGTTACATTAATGTAATCGATCCGATCTGTTGCGCCTGCAAGTTTGCTATGGCCATGAATATTGATCTTTACTTGTATAATGACGGCCTTGTTGGTCTAGCGGTTTAGCTCACCGCCTTACCTCCAATGGTCGCGGGTTCGATTCTTCGCACGGCACAAACATTTGTATTCATGAGTATGATAGAAAAAAAATAGAATTTGAATTTTGAATTGAATTAGCTAGCTTAACTTGGGCGCTAAATAGATGGCGCTGTGTGAATCATCCTAAGATTATTATTATAATAATGGTCTATGAACATCCCATTTCGTTCTGCCAATCGATGTGTCTCTTCGCCAGGTTCTTGGAGACCGGCTTCGTTTTTTCAATCGCTGACAATAAGTCCGATAACTGCACTCGGTCTTTCCGTTGGGTTGCGCTGCCTGTGTACAAAATTATACAAGTCATTACAAAAAGCAGGACAGTTTGTGAGGAGTAAAGATTTCAAATTAAAAATAAACCTACAAAGGCACGCTAGTTATTTTTAAACTTTAGTGTTTCACACACATTATTCATTAATTTATCTGCTTTATCTATACATATAAATAAAATTGGAATGTCTATTTGTAAATAATCGTTTTTAACTACATGCATATGAATATAAATATGGTACATACACCAAAATAACATTTTTTACAATTTTTATTTGTCTGTTGTTCCGGCTAATCTCTGAAATGGCTGGACCTAGCAGTGTGCGATAGAGACAACATAGCTTTTTATTGGCAGGTAGCTGATGTAATAAGGAGTAACTTAGGCTACTCTTAATTTAGAAAAAATCTTTTAGTTTAGAAAATTAAAGTTAAATTCAAGTCACGGGTACAGCTAGTCGGCTAATAAAATAACCTTTGGAATGTGCCGAGATACTTAATTGTGGCTTAGCAATAAATCTGCGTATTATTTATAAAAATAAAGAATTATAATACATTACTTAACCTACTTTACAATACAATAATTTAGTTTTTAACTGGGTCTTAACACTTTATACGTATTAATATTTACTTCCCTCGACGTTTCGATTAGTTTGCCGGGAAAAAGGCAAACACCTTTATTTAGCAAAAAAATATTCATGTAAATACGCTATAATTACTAATTACATGTAATATTTTTTTATCTGTGCTACTATTTACAACCACATTGTAGAATTACCTTCCAGCAATGGTATTTCCGAATCGATACAATAATGAAAACTCTAAAAAAAGAGCTTAATCCTTCTTCTTACAATTCCGGTGGTTGTGGGCAAAAGTAATCCATCAGGTGAGCCGCAAGCTCATTTATTCTCTATGCTGTAAAAAAATTCTTAAGTTGGTAATTGTATAATATTACCTCTCGCGTTCATATTCGGCAGCATCTTCCTGACGGTACACATGAGTGCCTCCTTACAGACCAGCTTGATATCGCTGCCTGAATAGCCCTCGGTCTTCGCAGCCAGCTCCTCAAAATTCACCTTCGGGTACAACTCCACGTTTTTCACGTTGAGAAATTTCTCGAACAATTCCACTCGAGTCTTGAAGTCTGGTAGAGGTATGTATATTCGCTTCTCCAGCCTTCTTAACATTGCTGGATCTAAAACCCTAAAAAAAATTTTTTTATGTAAGTATCGTATACACTTTCATTTAGTCAAATCTGTTAATTTGAAATTACAAACAGATACTTTGATAAATCTCTCAAAACAATTGCTTAGATAAATCTCTCAGTCGTGTACAGTTTGTGTTTCTAATTGTCGGCTCTCAGATACACACCATTGTTCTCACACGCCGTTCACAGCATAATGCCCGCATGACGCCAGCAGTGTGCGCTAGAGACGACATAGTGCTTCCTTCTCTTTCCCACATATACAATAAGTTGTATAGATAAATCTTAAGTATTACTAACCATGGCATATTAGAGTTAGCCAATAAGAACACCACACCGTCCCGTTTGCTGATACCATCCAGCTCTGTGAGTAGCTGAGCAGTCATGCGCCTTGACGCCTCGTGTTCTCCCGAAGCTGAACGATCTGAAGCTATGGTCTCTACTTCATCAATAAAAATTATTGAGGGCGAGTAGTAGGACGCCATTTCGAAAAGAACCTGTAAATATACCATTATAGCAACCACTATTCTGTAAACGGAACCTTACTGGACCTAATGCAATAGCATATGCTGGTGGTCACTATAATTTCACCAATTGAATTTAAAAATTATCTAGGCTTATCTAGTTGATAAGAATAAGAGTTGAGTTTCTAGTCAGTCAGTTGTTCTTAGCTCGAAGACACTTCAACTGACGGTAGATTTGACATATCGTAAGAGTCTGTAATAGACCTACATGAGTAAAGATATTTTCATTTTGCTTTTGTGAGGCTTAAGTTCAGCAGTTCATATCCAAGTAGCTATAGTGATTATTATATTTCTGAGTGATGACAATAAATAATAATCAGATACCTACTTATAATTCAGCTAAAGTTTTACCTTGATTATTTTCTCCGATTCTCCTCTCCATTTATTAATAACCGTGCTACATGATATATTGAAGAAGGTACATGAGCTCTCACTGGCTACAGCTCTCGCCAGCATTGTCTTGCCAGTTCCTGGGGGCCCGTGAAGTAACACACCTCGCCAGGGTTCTAGAAGACCAGTAAATACTTCTGGATACCTATAATTAAGTTTGAGAAATGTTAGTTAAATGAAAAACTTATCCCTATATGAGATCTCTCCTAGCTAAATCAGTTCGTAGAAATTGCGGTTGAGTAACAAATAATTAAAATTATGCTATTTTATTTATTTATTTATAACAAACAGAGCCTAAGACTGCCAGCAGTAATAAAAATACATACGCAAAATAAACATTTTCTATTATACTATGATTGTTGGTATTTAACTACCAAATAACAGTATCAAAAGTTTTACAATATCTCCCGAATAGAGTACTTATATAAACTTAACAAAAATAAAATGGCTTACAAGAAAAAATCACGGCTTATATTGCACCTCGCTATTGTCACGTTATCATTAAATGGATCTATATGTGATAGGTCCGATGATTTATTATACCTATGTGTTGCAAGCTCGCTCGCACAGTGAGTGTTTTGTTGGTAATTTGTAGAAAAAAGAGGGTCATTAAATATATAATAGTGCCATGGTGACCTCATGGGAATATTCATTGTTATTTTACTTAATAGTTCAGGACAGCCGACATCAATTCTTGTAATTTTTCATAAATAGGTAATGTTTGCTATTTACCATATACATATGCTATCTTTTTAATAAAAAACAGAAGGTATTTATAATATAATAAAATATAATTCAAATTGTGACGGGTGTACATGTATTATATATATATATAACCTTCCTCTTGAATCACTCTATCTATTAAAAAAACCGCTTCATACATAGGGGCGGTTAGACAGCTATAGCAACTTTGTTTTATACTATGTAATGATTACAAAGGTACAAACTATGATGTTGCGTTTATTTGGATCGTGTGGAGTGACGCAGATTGTTTCCAAAATCATGCCGTTAATTTTATTTGCGCCCAGTCGTCAATAGATGGCGTGAATAATATGCATACCTGACGGGGTAAACTACAGATTCCATTAGTAAACTCTTCGCCGAGGACAGTCCCTTGATATCGTCCCAAGCTATATCCATTGGCTTGACGATATCCTGGTAAAGTAATTCTACAAGTTGTTTCTTTTCGGGAGACATTTTCGCAATAAAACCCGTTAGAGGTTTGCAATCCAGTGCATTGTTTTTATTTTTTGGCATATCTTCATTCTCCTAAAACAGTACAAATGTTTAAAGCGAAGTGAAGTCGACACAACCTGCTGATAATGCTGTACGAAAATGTTAGAACGCACGACTTCTGAAGATTAGATTTTGTAACTGAATAGGTGCAGTTAGCATCAAAAATTTATATAAACACATTGGGACTTCTAAAGCAGAAACGGGGTTGCGTACCAAAATTCTTCAAGAAAAATAACGATGGAATTGAATAAATATCTTTAAAGGTCAAATATAGCTAATAGTCATAAATAAATAAGCCTGGACAATTAACACAGCGCCATATATGTCTAACAGTAAGCAGAGCTTGTGTTATGGATACTAGACTACTGATATAATGGTGAGAAAGGGAGTAAATAACGAGATGACTGCGAACAGGAATGAATGGATGAGAAAAACATATTACGCCGACCACAAATAAATGGGATAAAGAAGAAGCAGATGATGATAATACAATACTTATATATTTTTTTAAATACATACATAATATACATAGAAAAGAAACAACCGTACTCATGAATACAAAGGTTTGTACCGTACGAGAAATCGAGCCCGCGACTATCGGAAGTAAGGCGGAGCGTGAAACTGCAAGACCACCGAGGCCGTCCCAAAGTCCCACAGTAGCTATTGGCCGCAAGAGAACTTTTCTTGTGACCCCTCTATTAGCTTACTCATAATGATAAAACCTTACCCTGAGCATCCTGGTGACAGTAAACGTGGAGGGCAGATCAGCATCTGTGTCGGGATGTGGTACATCCACCGCGCGCTCTGTCCTCACTCGCCGAGTAACAGGGCGTCGGGGTAGCTGCTTCTCTTCTACCTTGCGACAAAACTGTGGCTGCTTGTTGAACCGTATGAGGTAGTAACTGCAGTAGTCCTTAAAACATTAATAGACTTTGTAATATTTTATCGAATTAGTTTATTTTGTTATCTTGCGAAATATATGACGGGTTCGGTGGTCTAGCGGTTTGGCACACCTTACTTCCGATGGTCGAGGGTTCGATTTTTCGCATGCCACAATCATTCATATTCATGAGTATGATTGATTGTTTCGATCTGGGTGTATTTTATATTTTCGTAAATACATACATAATAATTATGTATGTATTTACGAAAATATATATCTATGTACCTATTTGTATCAGTTATCTAGTATCCATAACACAAGCTTTAGCTAGTCTAGAGTCTAGACGGCACTGTGTGAATTGTCCTAAGATTATTATTATTATACTAACTGTTCCCGCGACAACGTCCGCGTGGAATTTAACTTTGTTTTTCTTAAGTAAAAGAATTTTCCAAAATAAAAGTAGCCTAAGTTACTCCTTATCACATCAGCTACCTGCCCAAGACAATTACATCAAAATCGGTCCAGCCGTTTCAGAGATTAACCGGAACAAACAGACAGACAGAAGACAAAAATTGTAAGTAAAATTCTGCTTCATTTTCATCCATCCGCTAATGGCTCACAATCACTGTATCAGCATCTAAATACTGACCTGTAAAATGATGTCCAAGTCTATATTATCGCAGACCTCGTATTCCCCGGTAAGGGAGGCCTCAGACGCGAAGGTCTCAGCAGTGTGGAAGAATCCCTCCTGCTTCAAGAAACTCAACACCAAGTACTTTAGAATGCGTTTTCTGGCGCGAAATAAAGCTTCTTTCTAGAAATAAAACAAAGCAAACCGATAGCATCTGTTAATGTTCATAATGGGCACTATCAATTTATAAAACATTTTAAATTATAGCCGCTTAGCCATGCCCGCGGTTCAACCCGCGGTTTCATTTATAGCCTATATGTTATTCTGATGTATAAACTATATTACTGTAAAGTTTCATCAAAATCCGTTCAGTAGTAATTGCGTGAAAGAGTAACAAACATCCATTCATACTCACAAACTTTCGCGTTTATAATATAATTATTAATGTGTTGCTCTGATTTATAAGCCATATTATAATTGTTTAGTAAATCAAAATTCACCAAAATCGGTTTAGAAGATTTTGCATGGAGGAGAGTTTAACATTATTTCATACATACATCTATTGGAATGAATTTTCACGTTTTTATTATTAATGTTATTGTATTTGTAATTATATATTGTATTGGACTTTAATTCTTTAGTTTTAGTTTCAATTACTTATTTTACTTTCGTCTTTCTTACTTCTATTATTTACTATTCTGTGACACACACACCACTTCCTGTATCACGCTGTTTTAGGTTAAAAAGTAGAGTAGTAGAGATCTGTTTTAGAGATAAAATCTGCTTTGCTAACAAAATTTCTAATATCTTCGGTTAAATTGAAAAATGGCAGTTTTCAAAATGAACATTTTTGGAAGACAAGCAATTAAAGTTTTTTTTTATTTATTTAAATTATTTTTTCCTTTAAAGTTTTAAATTTACACACAAGTATTATATATCATTTTAAAAGTATTTAGATAATGATTAAGACGGCGTGGTTAATTTAATTGACTTATATAAAAGGAGGCAATTCTAGCTTCTAATTTTGAAAAATGTGATTTTACTATTTAATCGACGATATGTATTTGAAATGTTGTATTTATAAGTACAATAAAGAATATAAATATGTACTGTATGTCTTATAAATAATTGCCTACGTAACCTAACACGCACATCACGTGAATAACTTCAAGAAACAGCGAGTAATAAAAACATAAAGTTAATGTCTTCAGCAACGAGAGCGAATGCCATTAGGTAAACACAAAATAATGAACTGCATACCTATACCGTGATATGCCGAAAGTATTAACTTTTAAACAGATATTGTATGGATTGGTATGTATAATTTTAAAATGTGATGCAATTTTTTAGCTTGCGGCCATTTGATCTCAGAAAAAGTTTGATCTATGCATACGATTACCGTAGCCTATGCACGCCTGAAACACCAGGCGTGTCACGTGCGCGTTGCGACCCTTAAGAAGACCCTTTTTGAAAAACTCCATCTAGTCTCTTGTCTCTTGTGGTCCCTCATTATTGTCTCTTGTAGTCATTGGGCTCCCTAAGATGTGGTCGAGCGCAGTGATGGCAGACTCATACGTCATACTCGTGAACAAGTTCTGCTTGTAGGGACTGGTCTGCTCTGATTATACGACTGTTTTAATCCTATTGCGTATGTAATATCTGACCCTAATAAGTGGTGCTAGTTGGTGGTTTGTATTCACACATTTCGAATTGGAAATGTAAACTTACAATGATTATTTAAAAGAGCAACACGCAAGTTTCTTGCTACTTCTTCTTGTGATGAGACAGCTTTCCGAATGAGCGGTAGATTAGAAGAACGAACTATGACTATTCAGAAGTGCTTAAATTAAGTTTATTTGAATAAATGATTTTTTATTCTATTTCTTTTCTATTCTAATCTTAACGTTTATGAAAATAAATTGTATCACAAGAACGAACATAGGCTATCTTTTATCTCAATAAAAAGCACACAAAGTAGCATGTATTAGCTAGTATTCTGTAACGGTTCAGAACAACAATAGATGATTTCAACTTACAGACTCAATTTTTCTCATCTGACTCAAAGGTCTGGTGACTCCGGCCATATTCTTAAAAGTTTTTTTTTATTAAATAAACACTCAAATGTGAAGAAATCACGAAAACAATATAAAATTACTGGTTTATTGCCCTTCAGCTATTGACAAAATGACGTGTTGCATAGTTGCCAGGGGTTGTTATGTTGCTAGGCAACGGAGCACGTGGTCCAAAGATTAAAATAGGTCATATCAAAACAATAATTATATTATACATGTTAGCACATGAAACCTCTTTTTGTATAAAATCCATAAAAAATTGTAATTAAAAATAAAATAAAAAACTAATTTTCTTTCTGTCAACACGGTCTATCATTTATTATTAATTGTATTGAGCTTAAATGCATTATAAATATATCACAGTTAGAAACACAAAGTGTGTATTAGCTGTTCAGGCAAGGTTGTTTTGCTATATAAATTAATATCGATATAAAAGTAGGGGTTTATGTAGACGGTTGAAAAATGTAGGGTTGTACATATTGTTTAATGCCAAATCTTAATAATATTATAAACGCGAAAGTTTGTAAGTATGGATGTTTGTTACTCTTTCACGCAAAAACTAGTGAACGGATTTTGATGAAACTTCACAGTAATATAGCTTATACATCAGAATAACACATAGGCTATATATTTTTGATTGAAATTTAATAAATAAGATAAAATAAAAATTAAGACAAAATTTTAAGATTATTTTTTGAGTGGCCCAATCCAGAAAAAGTCTCAAAAAACCCTTATCACTTAGGAATATAAAAAATATATAAAAACGTATTCTCAGACTTACCCAGTTTACATATAAAATTTCATGAAAATTGGTTCAGTTAGTCCGCTTCCATCACGGACAAACAACACGAAACTTTATATTATACATATAAGTAAGAAATATTATAGATCCGATTAAATAATGTTGTTTTTATATGGTTAGTCAGTTTATATAACGCAGAACTTACGTTATGAAAACTAGACAACTGATAAAAATACCTAAATATTTTTTTAATAAGTATATTTATAAATAATTATACAAAATATTTACATTACTTTTCACCCGAAATGGCCCGTCAATTTATTTTACTACTTAATGGAGTCAACTGTCCACATTATCAATTCCCGACCCCCCTAACTATGTATATATATATTTTATGATGATAATGGAATGGTACACCCGCCTGCGCTAATGATTTCCGTTTGCTGGGCACCAGTGGAGGATGATAAGATGAGTATGAGGTCAGGCCAGTTAGCCCATCGTAACTAATTCACCAAGAATTTATCACGATGGTTTCCAGGTGGGACCACGTGGAGGTCAACCTGACATATTGCTAGCAATAAAAGTATCAGTCCACATTACTAACAATTCTTTTTCCCCCTAACTATGTGTCATCATCATTATCGCAGCCCGGAAGACGTCCACTGCTGGACATAGACCTCACCCAAATATCTCCACGATCGGTCTTGCGCTGTTCGCATCCAATGTTCAATGTTCAATCTAATACATAGTTAGGGAAAGTCCTAACTATAACTAACTATAACTAACTACCATATAGTAATTTTTGTAGCTGTGACGTGGTCGTGTGGAATGAGTAGTCATGCTCACTAAAATGTCCAGACATGTGGCGGCGTGCTGGGCCGGGTCAATCTAAAATATGGTCGAGCGCAGTGATGGCTGGCTCATCCGTCATACTCGTGAACGAGTGCTGCTTGTAGGGACTGGTCTGCTCTTATCACTACGACTGATTTAATCTTATTGCATGATTATATTTGACCTAAAAAATTAGTGCTTGTTGGTGGTTTGTATTCACACGTTTCGACTTGTAAATGTAAACTTACAAGGATTATTTAAAAGAGCAACACACAAGTTTCTTGCTCGTTCTTCTTGTGATGAGACAGCTTTCCGAACGAGTAGTAGATAAAAAACAAATTGTTATGACTATTCAAAAGTGCTTAAATTAAGTTTATTTGAATAAATGATTTTCTATTTCTATTTCTATTTCTATATGTATTTACAAAAAAAGTGTTAAAGTATTTCTATCATTTGTCTAGTGCCCATAACAAGCTCAGCTTAGCTTGGGTCCTAGATAAAACTGTATGAATTATCCAGGGTTATTATTATTAATATTGTCTTTGTTATATGTTTGTAGGTATGTAATGAAATTTAAATGATACCCGTGTAGAGGACTCGAGCACAGCATCCCACTTACACCGCTCAATCTAATTTTATGTAACAGTTCGAGAACGGCAATTTAGTTCAATTTGTGTGGTAATCTCGTAGCCTTTCTTCCAATCGATAAGACTATTGCTAAAATAAGTACATTAGTAGAATAGTGGAGTATTTTCTACATATCTTAGAATAGCAAACAGCCGTCGTCTTGTATGCCTTCAAAACTTATTTTAATTAATTAATTTTTATTTCCATTAATTGTTTCATTATTTTCATTAATTCATTCATTATTTTTATTAATTAATTTATTATTTTCATTATCTAATTTTCTTTAAACTCCCATACATAGTTGTAAAATAGCTACCTGCCCCAGCTGCCGCACGAGTGTACATGTACATATAAACCTTCCTCTTGAATCACTCTATCTATAGCTAAAAAATGCATTACAATCCGTTGCGTAGTTTAAAAGATCTAAGTGCACAGAGAGCGGAAGCGACTTCATTTTATACTATCAAGATCAGTGCAGAAATAAACACGCTACGACTCTACGAATTTGTAGCACTTATGCGAGTGGTCATAAGATCGCATCCCCTTATCCGCTACAGTTTCGCTTCAGTTACTGTACTGTACAAGAGATCTGCTACAATAAGCCAACACAACTATTTTAACTTTTAAACTTGTTGAATGGCCAAATATATTACCAATTTTAGTATAATTTATATTTATTACATTATAAGATACTATGAAAAAGCGACTTCCTTATTTGTTATGTGAATTAATCGACCGGACATACAAAGAAACAAAATATTGAAATTATAATAGTTTCAATTTTACAGTTTTTTTTTATTGGATGATTATGGAATGGTTCACCGTTCAATGGCTAACAGGCACCAGTTGAGGATGATGAGATGTACATGAGGTCAAGTCAGTTAGCACATCGTGGCAAATTCACCAGGAACCTATCACCTTGGTTTCCAGAGGAAACCGCGTGGAGGTCAATGACATGGTATTGCTAGCAATGGGGTTATAAATCCACATTACTAACAATCCCATTCCCCTCAATTGTATAGTTTGGTAATGTTATAATGACCAACAAGCTAATAAAGCGCTTTATCAGCAGTTTCTTTTTTAATTTACGCTTAAAAACAGCTTAGAGACATTCATCGGCCATAACGTACATAGCGTGTGAAATTAAAAGGTGCTAAATTAAAGAGCACATTCTCTGTAAGAGGTAATGTCGACACTTGATGTATTTTTGCCGCGTAGGTATTATACATACGAATAGGTATGTCGCGTGAGGCTGAAAATAGCTACGTCACCGTGATAACAGCGAGAAATTCAGATGTGCTTAATATTATAATGTCAAGGCTAATTTATGAGGACTTTGAATTGAAAAGCTAAGCGTGTTTTTCACCTATCTGCCAAAGATGGTGACTTTGAATACTCAGAAAGAGTATTCAAAGAGAAAAGAAGAAAATTCAAATTTGAGTATCTCAATATAAGTGTCTATGTCTATTTTTTTTATTTGTCTTTTTTAATTTCAATTTCAAACTATTCTAATGTTGTTGGCTTCGGCTAGCCTTTACAGCTTCACCGAACGATAGAGAAGGTACTTCAATTCCGCGGAATGACTAATACAGCCGCAGAAGAACTAAAAGCTCCAAGATATCGCGACGAATCGCCTATTCCCGGAGTCGCGGCATCGCAATGTCAGTCCACCGCGACCACTGCGGAAAAAAAAGTGCGATCAAGTAGTACCTTAGCTATTTTGTGTGTTCCATTCTTGTCAAGGGAAGTGCTAACCATCTCTCCTTTACATAGACACGTAGGCCAACTCCTGCCGGATACGACTTTAGTCTGAGGACACCGCTTGATCCCCGTATGAATTGAACGGGTAATCGATCGGAGGGGAAAGGTTTGAATGAAGTTTGGCGTGAAGTTAGAAAAAAAACAGACGCAATCGCAGGATACAGCTAGTATACTATAACTACTACTATAAAATTTGTCATTAATAACTCACTAGGGATTCCACCCTAACTTTGGGCGGTTACAACTGTATTCTCTTTCTGTAGGTGTTTTTGAAGTCAGTTGAGTAATGTTTTTATTCATTACAAACAATAATAATACTTAGAAGGTTTTATTCTTGTTATATTTATAATTTTAATTTAGACATTGTATAAATGTTACTAATTGTTGTTTTAGGTATTCAAAGTAAAAACTTAATTAGTATGTTTGGCTACCCTGAAACTTAGCATCCTTTAACGTATATTATACAACTCAAGAACTTTAGCAATACATTTCTATTTACAGATCCTAAAATCACAAAATTTTATATTTGTAGCTATACGTATACTCGGTAGGACGACCTCGGTGGTCTATCGGTTAGCACACCGCCTAACTTCCGATCGTCGCGGGTTCGTTCTTCACACGGTAACATTTGTATACATGAGTAAGATTGTTTGTTTGGGTCTGGGTATTTTCTATGTATAATACGTATGTATTTATAAAAAATCTATATATTCTATCTATCTATGTTTCAATTACCTAGTACCCATAACACAAACTTTAGCTAACTTAACTTGGGTCTAGATGGCGCTGTGTGAATTGCCCTAAGATTATTATTAATATTAATATTATTATACGTATACAAATTTTATCATATATTTATTATATGATAAACAGCCCTGTGTACGAACTATCCTGCTTTTTAGCATACATAAATAACTTGAAAATATCTTTGTTATAACAATATACAAAACTATAACAGAGACAATACCAAATAAGTATCATAAAACCAGATCTAATGCGTTAATTTGCACTTTATGGCTATCGTAAAAGAGTTTTATTTTATTACACTCGCTTACATCAATTGAGATTATGTCGCAAAGTAGAGCCTCCCGCAATCACTTACGAAATTAAAGTGGTCTCACGTTTTTTATTGCTGACTAGTTAACCCAGTATCACTTCAGCCAGCTAGCATAAAAGTTATAAAAGTAGTATTATAAAATTAATTTCAATATTTCAAATCAAATCAAATCAAATAGGGGGTAATGGATTGACAGTAATGTGGCCTCTTGACCCCGTTGCTAGCAATGTACCATGTCGGGTTAACCTCCGCGCGATTCCCCCTGGAAACCATCGTGATAAGTTCATCTGGAATTTAACTGACCTGATCTCATGCTCATTTCATCATCCTCCACTGGTGCCCCGTCAGCGTAAACCATAAGCGCAGGCGGGTGCACCATTTCATTATCGAATACAAAAGAATCAAATGAAATCAGAAATAATTTATTTATTTAAGACATTTTAACCGCTTATGAAAGTCTTTTTGTATTAATATTTTTCGCTACCGTTCATGTACAGATTCGATTGAGAAGACCTGATAAGAAACTCAACTGTATTTCTTTTCTTCTTAAGCCAGTTTATTTACATTGTGTATTTATGTAGATGTCTATGCCTAACATTAAATGAAAATCCCTTTCGGGAACAACTATTGCCATGCACGTTTGTCATTCAAGTATTCGTTTAGTGAATAATAAATAGGCTTTGCTCAGTAAATATAATTTAACAGATATTTTGAATAATAAAAATACTCTCAGGACAATTCACACAGTGCTATCTAGCTAGACCCAAGTTAAGCTAGCTAAAGCTTGTGTTATGAGCACTAGATAACTGATACAAATACATAGATATTTTTTTCGTATATACATACATATTATACACCAACACAACACCCAGACCGATTTAAACAATCAAATTCAGGAATATAATGTTTGTGCCGTGCGTGGAATCGAACCCGTGACCATCGGAAGTAAGGCGGTGTGTGTGCTAAACCGCTCGACCACCGAGGTCGTCAGTATATGTACAGATATCCTTTGGTATCTTACTGTAAATTTTTATACCCATTCCCATAAAATGGATTTTGTGACTTTGACAGATTAATTTTCTTAAGACAATTCCGTCTTTGTTTAATTTGTTGTAAATTCACGGCAAAAGCTGGAATTTATACTGTAATTATTATTATTGTCTGCCACCATTGGCTGCGGGGAATGGAATGTAAGGGTTACGAAGAAATGACATCGCTTACTCAAAACAATGGAGAGGGTAAAAGCGGTGGCTTAGCTGAGATACGTATAGGAACGTGTTACATTAACTATAAAAATTGACGTCATTACGACAGTTCCCAAGTGGGGTAGACAAAGGCATTCAGACTATATAATATCATAATAAGTTTATTGTGAAAAAAAAACAAATAAAAAATGGACTTAACTCAGGTTATATATCTATATTAATTCTATATATATACAATAGTTCTTAAAACTATTTAATACCAAGTCCAGTGCAGTAGTGTCTAAACTAGGTCTAGCTTGTATATCAGACACCATGGCCCCCCTAAAGATAACATGCTATACGATTCTTAAGAGTTGAAAGTAAAAAATAAAACTAATGTAGGTAATCGTGTCGTTGAGACAATGAATGCGTCACATCGTATGGTCCAACTATAATCGGTGCATACAAACTTATGCAATAAAGTATATTTGTAACAAAAAAAAGATTATATTATGTTATATTGTAGCAAAAGCAATACTTGATATATGTATACTATATATATTATGATTTATTTTATACTACGATGGTGACAAATAAGCATATGGCCCAACTAATGGTAAAAGGTTACTATGGACGTCTGAAACACAAGGGGTGTCACGTTACCGACCCTTAAAAAACCTTAACATAACCTTTTTGAAAAATCTCATGCTGTAGTCTCACGAGAAAATATCGGCAGGTAGTTCATTCCAGAATCTAAAATCTATACGCGAGAGGAAGCTCCTCTGAAACCGCACTGTCCGAGACCACTTAGGATCCAGCGCGTGGGGATGAATAACGATGTATAAGGATATGTGATTCAAACGTGGCACACATATTTTTTTAAGCTTATTCTTGTTAAAAACATAAGTAACCGCTTATATCACGTAAAGAAGTAGTAATGTAACTTTGTACGGTAATCCCAGGCGGTGTAGGTAGAGATATGTTTGCTTGTCATCAAAAGATTTGAATAATTGTTTTTGTTAGTTATTACTAGCTGTACACGCGACTTCACGTGGATTTTAACCTTAATTTTCTAAAATAAAAGTAGCCTAAGTTACTCCTTATTGCATCAGCTACCTGTCAAAATGGTCCTGTCAAAAACGGTCCAGTCATTTCAGAGATTAGCCGGAACAGACAGACAGACAAAAATTGTAAAATATATTATTTTAGTGTATGTATTTATATTCATATGCATGTAGTAAAACCGGTTATTTCAATATTACATACAGACACTCCAATTTTATTTATATGTATAGATTAAACTTTCGTGTTTAGTATTATACATTACTCATAAAGCTTACCGTACATTACTAATACCACAGATAAGATAATATTACATACTAATATTTAACATAAATAATATTATCTTAATAATATTATAAAAGCGAAAGTTTGTGAGTATGGATGGACGAATGTATGTTTGTTAATCTTTCACTCAAAAACTACTGCACGGATTTTAATGAAACTACAGTAATATTATACATAAGAATAATACATAAGTAATATTTAAAAAAATATTACATATGTACCTTAGGTGAAATATGACAAATGTCAGATAACTGTGACGCAAACGAAGTTGGCTTAACGAGTGGTAAATTCAGATATTTCCCTCTCTCGACTTTTTAATTTGATTGCACCAGCCGTGGTCAAGAGCTGACTGAAATAACAGCGATATCAATGTCGATGGGTGCCAGCAGTTTTTTCTACTACCGTCATTAGATTATCCAACGAAATATCGATACACAACACTCAATCTAAATATATATAACTCAAAGGAGACTGACATAGTGATCTATCAACGCACAGCCCAAACCACTGGACGGATCGGGCTGAAATTTGGCATGCAGGTAAATGTTATGACGTGGGCATCCGCTAAGAAAGGATTTTGATTAATTCTACCCCCAAAGGGATAAAATAGAGGTTGAAAGTTTGGATGAAACTTTGTCAATTTTAAACCGATCGGGCTGAAACTATGCATGCATAAAGCTACTACGACTCCCTAAGAAAGGATTTTGATAAATTCCACCCCTAAAGGGATAAATTAACGCGAGCGAAGCCGCGGGCAAAAGCTAGTATAGTATAGTTACACAATTATACAGGGCTTCTACTTACTTTTTACTAATTTTTCAGTTGACAACGAGCCAAATTATTTTTTAACTTTTATGGCTAAACAACACCAGATAATGTAAAAATGAAAAGGACCTTTTTTGTGCAGATTTTTTTCCTGTACAACTTTTATTTGAAACATTTTGTCATATTTCTTATCAATAACGAGTTATATTGAAAATGGCGTTTTTCAACACTTGTTTTAATTTTTTCATCCCTTTCCCGTCAACTTAAGACAATATTTCTTTCTGAATATTATTATTCACGTATTTGCAGACTTATGTTTATGTATATATTGCGCCAAAACTGGTTACATAATGGTTTAAATCAAAATTTTCTTGTAGTATATTGACTACTGTTATCCAACTTTGTTTGAACTTATTTATCACTAGATTCCACGCAGAAGCGTATCTATACCCTCCTACACGCTCCCACGTTATATCAAATGGACTAAACAACCACATATGTCTCCAACTACAGATAAATCTCCGAGACAGACTGAATATATTCATACATGACGTAGATACGGTAGACAACGAAAATAGATGCCTTGACCTATTTGATAAAAGCTGGAGTCACGTCATAGCGTATTTGGAAGCGAGTCCATTGGCCCATATACGGCCTTCCAAGGACATTGTCAGTGTAGCAGACACCGTGGCGCCCTGTTACAGTATCGAAAACAGATTGTGAATATCCTTGTTTGCCACCACCTTAATAAAAAAAAACTGAAAGTTAATATTACCTACTTAGGCTGACTGCGTCGCTGGTCTAGCGATTTAGTACACTAGCTGCAGGTTCGATTCACCGCACAAACATTTGTATTCATGAGTATGATTGTTTGTATCAGTCTTGGCGTTTTCTATGTATATTATGTATTTACAAAAAATACATGTAAGTATTTATTTATGTTGCTAAGTATTTATATCAGTTGTTTAGTATAACACAAGCTCTGCATAGCTTTGGACTGGTTGATTTGTCTTGCGTTATTATTATTATTCCTTTCTGAACACGTATGTTTGTTTATATAAACCTTAGAATTTCGAGTGTGCTTATTATTGTAATGTTGTATTTGTTGATTTAATTTATTTATTGCGTATATATATTTTTTAAATATTTGCATATGCATCCATTCTCTATGTAGGTAGTGTACGAAATTACGTAAAAAGGGCAAATCAGCACACTTTTCGTTAAAAGGGGTACAAACATTTTGTTTCGCGTATTATTCTATATCTCATATTCTCATATTATTTTAAATACATCTCGTTACACATCAGCATATCAATAGTAATTACAATTATATGTCAAATTACCTTTTTTTCTCAGGAGAATTCACACAACGCCATCTAGTCCCAAGGTAAGCAGAGCTTGTGTTATGGGTACTAGATAACAGATTTTTTGTATTATACATACATAGTATACATAGAAAACACCCAGACCGACACAAACAATGATACTCATGAATACAAATGTTTGTACTGTGCGAGGTATCGAACCCACAACCATCGGAAGTAAAACCGTGTGCTAAACCGCATCACCACCGAGGCTGTCCGAATTATTTAGAATAATAAATTAAAAATATATTATATATATATATGATAACTTCAATGCACATATACCAAGGTAAAAGTACATATGGCAGATTTATCCGCGGTAACAGGTATAAACTACTTGCTTACTCCCAAATAAGTATTTAAGGCAATTCCTGTTTTAGTGTCCAATTAATCCTACACCGTGCACGCATACGAACACCTCCTCAAGGGAGTCCTTCCGTTGATGGTCGTTATTAGCAGTAAAGATATAGTTAAACGCTGCCGTCGCTGCAGGGGACACGTCTGTTTACAAAATTATGTGAATAGATAACAATAATTTGTACACACGACATAACAGACTGAGGGGGAGGTCTAAGGGGGCTGTAAAGATGATAGAAGATCCCTTTGAAATACTAACGTATTTACCTGTAATTAATATTACGATTGTTTCCAGGACCGCGTGGAAGACCTGAAGTGACAAATTGCTAATAATTAACTTTCATCGCCTATTTCATGTTACCTGCTTAAAGATTTTTTTTACAATCCTTGAATGACATATTTATTTATATTTAATCAACAGCCTAAAAATAAGTTTATTTAGTTTTTTCTAGCTAAAAACATTACAATATTTTCATACAACCTTTCATCTCCAATTTCAACCTCTTAGAACCCTTTTTTCGAGTTAAAAAGTAGCCTATGTCTTTTCTTATCGTCTGGGCTATTTGTGTACCAAATTTCCTTTAAATCTGTTCAGTAGTTTTAGCGTGAAAGCGGGATAGACAGACAAACGGTTACTTTCGCATTTATGATATTAGTTAGAATAAACAGCTGGGTTTTATTTTCCGATTTAATACCTACCTCGTGGGACAGCTGATCAAAATCAACAGCCTACGCCGCGGGCTGTAGCTGTAGTAAACAAGCTCGATACAACGAAATAGACTCACGAAAATTCTCATGAATACCTAAGTAATCTAATAACAGTACAGTCCTGTATACAGAAGAGCAGCAGCCAGCAATTGGCGGAGTGTTACCTCCAAAATTTTATTTCTTACTAGCTGTACCCGCGACTTCGTCCGCGTGGAAATTTGCAACATTACTTTATTTTTTTTAAATAAATGTAGCCTAAGTTACTCCCTATTACATCTGGTACCTGCCAAAAAAGTCCCGTCAAAATCGGTCCTGCCATTTGAGAGATTAGCCGGAACAAACAGAGAGACAAAAATTGTAAAAAATGTTATTTTGGTGTATGTACCGTATTTATATTCATATGCATGTAGTAAAACACGGTTATTTCAATATTACAAACAGACACTCCAACGAAATATCGAACTCAACAAGAGATTTATTTATTTAGGATCATAAACAGGTTTACAAAAACTTATAACTATTTTAAATTAACTATGTACTACAAATACTATTGTAAACATTCATGATGACAGATTATATTTAAGTGTTGAAATATATGGGTCTTATATGTTAATTAAACGCATATGAACTAATATATTATGTGATAACCGTGGATAATATACATGTACAGCATCACGAACATCACGTTATCATGCTAGCCGTGATGCCGCCTCTGCGTTGCCATTCCACAGCACTAAGATGCAATACTTCCGTATCCAATAATTATGAATGAAATGGTATTTGAGTATTCAGTTGACGCTTAGGATTGCGAAGCTCAGAATTATAATCAACTTAATATTAGAATAGAAAATCCTTAACACAAATAAACTTAATTTAAGCACTTTTGAATAGTCATAGTTATCATTCTTTTAATCTACCGCTCATTCGGAAAGCTGTCTCATTACAAGAAGAATGACCAAGCAACTTGCGTGTTACTCTTTTAAATAATCATTATAACTTTACATTTTTAGGTCGAAACGTGTGAATACAAAGATTTAACAAAAACAATAAAACAAACATAAAAAAATAAAATTACTAAGAATTAACAAATAAATATACAATATACAGAACAAGAGTAAGGAAACAAATTTCACTGCTTTATCACAACCTTCAACTGAAACACAGCTGACGAAGCAAGCTATTCATCATTTGAATTAGGTAACATTGAGGTGCCAAGAGTCCACTTTTAAAAATTCTGGTTCGTCAATTTCCAAATACATACCAGTTTTAACTATTAAAGTATATGAAAGATACAAAATATTCGAATAGTTAAAATTAATTTGTAAGAAATTTTAGTTATTATGAACAAAGAGGACATCTACATTTTTTCTTTCTTAATTAATATATACCCATACCATAAACTAATCAAAACATACAAATAGTTAGGAATAATATGTAAGAAATTTATTTTTTTATAAACAAAGAGGCCATCTACATATCTTTCTTAATTAATCACTCGTACCGCAAACTAAACCATAATAGATGTAGATACAGCTTAACCTTGTTTTGTCTATGGTGGGTGATAAGATGGCGTTTTATATCGTCATAAAAATTGCACACCTCATGGGTTAGGGCTGAGGACGCGCGGGAAATTGAATGCGGATTCGTGCTATGATCACTGAGTGTATTGTTTCCACTATACAGCCCTTAGACAGTTTCACAGTAAGTAAGATTCTGTTACATTATGTATTGGTAGCAATTTTCTTTACAAACATGTTGAAATATAGGTTTTTTATGTATTCTAACTAGAATACGAATACGATGTATACGATAAATAGTAGCATAGAAATTAAAATGAATTAGTAACGCTTCAATTGCTTCAAACCACTATTACGTAATAAATTGTTACTATTAAATAATTGTTTTATGAAAATACCTAATACTTAAAATAAAGTTTCAATAATTAAATTATACTGTTCTTCTGATTATACTTATTTGTCTGCAAAATGCTTATTTATAGAAATAAAACAATAAAAATAAACGATTAACTGGCTGGATAGCAGAGGAAAAACAAAGGTGTCTAAAAGAGGATTATATATATGCTTCCATATTACATATATTCCCTGCCTATTTATAGCCTATATGTTATTCTGATGTATAAGCTATACTGTAAAGTTTCATAAAAATCCGTTCAGTAGTTTTTGCGTGAAAGAGTAACATCTATTCACCCATACTTACAAACTTTCGCGTTTATAATATCAATATGATAACTCTTGCATACCAGGAAACCACTTAGACTCCCTTTCTTCAAACTTAGTGCATTTCTAACATTTGGCAAATATTTTTTTAAATGTCATTAGTATTTTATGATACATAAAAGTATTAGATGAAAAGTGTCATAAAAGTCATCAACTTTCCGTCATTTCCATCGGATTTCCTTTTATATTGGTGTAAATGGAAAAGGACCCGTCTGAGCGCAGTTGCCGCATTCGGGGGCGCGGGGGGAGCGGCCGCTGCGGCCGGCATGTACGGGACGCGGCAGTCATGACTCGCGCACCGGTTACTCCCGCCGCCCTCCTCGCCACAACTATTGCGCTACTCGCCGCGCTCGTCGGTGAGTTCCAATTACGAATTTTCCCAATCAAAGTGCTTTCTATCTAGTTACCTAATTAATTTATAAAAATTATAAATGAGTACTGCGTTCTAAATTCAAATAAATAAATACATTTAATTTTCTTTTTAATTTCCGGTGATCGTTGTATTTTGTTTATGACATTTTATTACTTTTTCTACCACTAGAAACTATGGTAAGATATAATAGCCTATATTTTATAAGATAACCTCAAAAAGTTGAGATGTATGCGCAATTTGCATAATAAATGCACTCGGTCAAACTTTGTAAAGGAATGCAGGCGTCTCGTCGCTATACAAAGCACTGCAAATTTATGATTTAATTAAAAAGAAGAATAATAAGCAAACAATATCTTTACTGTATTAAGTGTACACCGTAGAACAGAATGGATCGTCTTCAAGCAATTTCTTTTTTAAAAATAATATCAATTGATAATCTCATTAGTACTGTGACTAACTTGACATGTTGATGCATAGATTTGACCTAACAGCAAATGTTGTTACTATATTTTTGAACTAAGTTTATAAAGTGAAAACATTCTTATTGTGTTTATATTTTTTTAATTTTGTCTTTGTTAACTTAATACCATAGATAAGATTGATATTCTTTTTTAAGATGGAAACCTTTGTTTTATATCGTGGTTTTTTGTCATCCATGTTCAATATCAGTTTAATTGACATCTATGTTAGATAATATAATTATATTATAAATTATATTATTCATAAATAAAGATATAGAAAAAATAATTCAAATTCGAAACTAATTTATTCATGTAGGAGATTTTAATCACTTCTGAAAGGATGTTTTTCGTTCCTATTCATATTTTTTGCCGTCCAATTATAGAGAAATATATATAGAGAGAGAGTGACAGAGAAAGAGAACTGGCAATAAATCACACCGAATTTGTAACTAATATAAATTAAAATCATTTGAAATCTCAGATTTTTTGTCTATTGATTTTTCTATATATAGTTATATTATATATACAGTAGTCTATATACCAGAAGTAGACTGCAAAAAGTCTTCAGTCTGACCTATTTCAGCTACCAAGCAGCTTGCTCTGTATCTGTATGCTGTTTTCAGATGTAGGGTGCAGATTAGGCAGTGAAATTACAGGATAAGCAGCATGACATGTTAGTACTATAGCATGGCAACGCATGAGTGTTATCACAAGGATGTCGCATGATAACGTGATGTAAGTATATAGGCGACGGTTATCGCTTACCATCACGTAGACCGTCAGATTGTTGGACATTGGAATTATAAAAAAAACGTAGTTTAGAGGTCAAAAGGATAGCTTTCTAAAAATAAGGTAACCTTAAACACTTGGAATATATTTCATTCCATGGTAAATATCCCGTTTATTTAATGTGTATAATTAAAAAAAAGAGGGAACTTAGTCCCTTTTTTTAATCATTCTTTTTTTTGCGCTCCTTGGTGGAGCTCTTGCCACCTTCCATGATCTTCTATCAATTCTTTTAGTTGTTGATACGATACGACACCAAATTTTCCTCAACTTGCTTGATATAGCTGTGTCGTCTTCCCCTTCCTCTCTTGTTGATTGATTTTTTTAATCAATCATATCATCATCATGACATAGTATAAAATAATGTCGCTGTCGCTGTCCGTCCCTATGTATGCTTAAATCTTTAAAACTACGCAACTGATTTTGAAGCGATTTTATTAATAGATAGAGTGATTCTAGAAGAAGGTTTATATATATAATACATGTACACCCGGGCGAAGCCGGGGCAAGTAACTAAACACTGAATATAAATACATAAATTTATATTCAATATTTGATACGTTAATTGATCATTTTAACTTTATATAAAGTAAATTAACTTTAATAATATAATTACTACAACGCCTGCAGATTTAGTTTAAGTTTCTATTTTAATCAAATATTAAACAGTATTTATAAAAAAAACTACTTTTAGCTACATTCATACTATATATATTTATAGACATGGGACCAGCGAAGTGCCATCTCAAATATTTATATCCCAGGTACTTAATAAATTACGTCTGTTATTTATACTAAGATTTCATCGATAACTAGCTGTTACGAGCGACTTCGTTTGTTTTATTTAGTACTAGCTGTACACGCGACTTCCTCCGCGTGGAAATTAATTTTATATTTTATATTTCTAAAATATTATTTTATTATATTTTTTGGGCAAACATTTTTAATTTATAATTTTTATTATGTGTTATTAAAAAATACATACAACCCTAAATTTTCACCCTTCTATCTCTATTTTTTTATAGCGTTATTAATTTATATGGCAAAATAGAGTCCAATAATAATAATAATAATCTCAGGACAATACACACGGCGCCATCTAGACCCAAGTTAACCTTGTGTTATGATTACTAGCCAACTGATACATACAAACATAGATATGTTTTTTCGTAAATACATACATATTATACATAGAAAATAGAATTATCCAGCCAGATATAAACAATCATACTCATGAATACAAATGTTTACCGTGAGACGAATCGAACCCGCGACCATCGGAAGGCGGTGTGCTAAACCGCTAGACCACCAGGGCCGTCGAATATCGCCATTAATTGCCTCCTTCGCAGATAAAAGGATAAATAACATATTAAAGAACACAGTGTATAGTTACAATAAGGCTGTTAGTAATAAATTTCGTTCGAGTTGATTTTTAGTTGATTCATTTTATTAACAAAGTTTGTATTAAACTGCGCCGACTGTTAATATTTATTTATTTGATTTATTTAAAACTTTATTGATTTTGTACAACAGGCGGGCTTAATGCTAATAGCATTCTCTACCCGCCAACCTTAGGGAGTGCAGAGATACTCGAAGGCGGTTTGTTTTTAATAAATTAAATATAATTATAAGAAATAGATATAAGATTATACATATACGTAATAATATACTACATACAAACATATTGTGAGCATACATTAATAAACGAATACAATAAATAATATTCGTACATTAATAAACTTGAAGCAATTACAGTTACTTTCCTTGTTTTCTTTTAAATTCTATAAAAATATAAACAGCTAGGACAGTGCATAATGTTTACATAGTATGAAACAAAGTCGCTCCCACTGTCTGTTTGGTTAGATCTTTAAAACTAAGCAACGGAATTCAATGCAGCTTTTAAAAATAGATAGACCGATTCAAGAGCAAGGTTTATCTATACATCTATACATATAAATAATATTAGAGTGTCTGTTTGTAATATTGAAATAACCGTTTTTTACTACATACATATGAATATAAATACGGTACATACACAAAAATAACATTTTTTACAATTTTTGTCTGTCTATCTGTTTGTTCCGGCTAATCTGAAATAGTTGCACCAATTTTGACGAGACTTTTATTGGCAGGTAGCTGATGTAATAAGGCGTAACTTAGGCTACTTTTATTTTAGAAAAATAAAGTTGTACACGCGGACGAAGTCGCGGGTACAGCTAGGCATACATAAATTTATATTCATTATTTGGAACGTTAATTGATCGTTTTAACTTTATATAAAGTAACTTTAATAATTTGGCTACTACAACGTCATGTTCTTTCAATTTGTTAGTCACGCGATGGTTTGCTCTATAATTTAGTTTATTTATTACTTTATATATGAATATTTTATAAATAATTATAACAGTAAACGTAGATAATATGCCGTTTCGTTGGCCTACAATTTTATAGTAATAATAAATAATCCTGTATTGCTTTTACTGGATTATTTGGGATTGCCGTAGTATGTATTTTATATACCACAATGGTGGGAAAGGGAACAAGCATACGGCCCATTCGTTGGTTACCATCAGATGGGCCGTATGCTTACCATAGCCTATAGACACCTGAAACACCAGGGATGTCACGTGCTCGTTACCGACCTAACTTAATATACCTAATATTCCTTTCTAGAAACATCCCATAGTTTCTCGAGAAAACCACAGCTATGTACTATTACCTATACTCTATAGATATAAATAAAATTGAAGTTTCTGTTTGTAATATTGAAATAACCGTTTTTAATACATACATGTGAATATAAATACGGTACATACACCAAAATAACTTTTTTTTTAAATTTTGAATGTCTATCTGTTTGTTCCGGCTAATCTCTGCAATGGCTGGACCGATTTTGACAGGACTTTTTTTGGCAAGTAGCCGATGTAAATAGGAGATCTTTGGACAATTCACACAGCGCCATCATAAATAAAAAATGTTATTTTGGTGTATGTACCGTATTAATATTCATATGCATGTAGTAAAATACGGTTATTTCAATATTGTAATACAAACAGACACTCCAATTTGATTTATATGTATGGATATCACACGAGATACGAAGGCTGAGACTAAGTTATCTTAATAATCAATGTAGTGGATGACCATCTCATACATTAGCTCGGTTTCCACACCAAGTCCAGTGCTGTCCTTAATTTATTAAAACTGCCGCAAGCTTTTGACAATACACCGCAGAACGTCCTTTGTTTTTCGCATCCCCGGCCAATATATATACATACACGTTATATACTCGCATGTATACATAGTTATGTGAGGGTTACATTTAGAATGGTATTGGATACGTTTTCAGCTTCAATAATAATAATAATCTCAGGACAATTCACACAGCGCCATCTAGATCCTGATACAAATCTACTAGATGGCTAGTAGTGCTAGTTACTTCTAAGCTTCTGTTATCGGCTCTAGATAACTGAACAAATACATAGATATTATTTTTCGTAAATACATACATATTATACATATAAAAGTTTGCACCGTGCGAGGAATCGAATCCGCAACCATCGAAAGTAAAGCAGTATACTAAACCGATAGACGACAGAGGCCGTCATTGGATGAGAAATACACCCATTTGTTAATTTATAAAGCTGTTTAATGTTTTTTGTATACTTATCAAATTTTGCAATATGTTGTATGTTTGTGTTTTTCTGATGTATAAACTAAAAAGTGTCATCAAAAT